AAAAAAAAAAAAAAAAAAAAAAAAAAAAAAAAAAAAAAAAAAAAAAAAAAAAAAAAAAAAAAAAAAAAAAAAAAAAAAAAAAAAAAAAAAAAATCCACGAAAGAGTGTCTCAGGAAGGAATGACAAAAGCGATAGTCAAGGAGGAATCATCACCAAGCGAGTGTTTTGGATAGATGGCATATGAATTGGAACTGGACGAGGCCGACTTGTAGGGAGGGTGAGGGAAGGAGAGAGAGATTATGAACATGAAGTCCTGAAAATGGTTGATTGAGGGTATATGCAGTGAGATTTGGAGGGGCCGAGCGGTTGGGTGGGTCATGATATTCCAGACAGTTAAGGGATTGAGACGAAGATGGGAACGAAGAGGGTATTAAGTAAGACTGTTCTGATATTCAAGGGTTCGGGTAGTCGTCCAGAATTCGAACCATCTCTTTTGCTCGTGCCGGATCTTCCATGAGCATGTGCTGGCCCTTCATGAGGAGGTAGAGAGTGTCGACCACCTTGTGGAAGGACGATGCTGCTCCGCGCTCTTGCTTGAAGCGGACAAGGCTGAGGTTCTCCTGCCTACCTTGTTCTAGGTAAGTGCAGAATTCAGCGGAAAATTGGACCGGTCGAAGATTCAGCACTGCGAATTAGCTGGGTTAGTTGGGCCTCTTCCATGATATATTCGAAGATGTTTGATCTGGGAGACGTACGATTGACTTCACCCACGCTTCCGTAGATAACCCGTTTATCCTTATCAAGATAAACATCCTCCATACCCCATTTCTTCCACTCACGCATGGTCTTATGGATGTATTTCCGAGCTTTGGTAGTTGATGTGTTGAGTGCTATTACTCGAGTAGCAGGCTTGAGTTGAAATACGCGAGCAAACCAGTTCTGGCTCTTCCCCCCACCGCGTGGGGGAGGTGGAAGAGGTTTGCCGTCATATTCAGTGTCTGTTGTGTTGGCAGTCTCGGGATTGTGGTGAAGCAAGACGTTCGCGTCTGTCACGTCGAATCCTGTACTTTGTGATCAGTTGCTTCCCTTGCTATATAGGCGCGGAGAACTAACCTGTATCATGGTTCTGAGCATCCTTGCTTGCTCGTCTATGTATTAGTCTCCTGAAGAACCCGCCCTTGGGCTTTGTCCGAGATGCCTTTCCACTCGACTGGCTTTCTCGCTGGGTCTTGGCTTTCGCCCCTCTCGAGTCATCTTGGTGGTGTCTGATCACAGTCGCTGAACTTGGTTGGATTTGTGGGATGTCCGAACATTCTCTTGTAGTGTGCTCCCCTGCCAGCTGATGTTTATTCTGGAACCACGACCATTTCTTGTTGTCTGAAGAACGAGTGCCGCTACGTCGGGGTGATCCTGGCGTTTCTTCAATAGGGTCCAGTTCGCAAGGGCCCCGACTTTGGCCGGGATTAAGGGAAGCGAACTTGCGTGTAGATGCTGCAGCCTGGTCGTTCTCAACTTCCGGTGTACACAAGTCTAGTGTCTCTGGAATGTCTTCGGGGATAGAACTGCGTTTCTTTCGAATGTTCAAGTCCCTGGTCGGTTCCATCGACTGCAGGGAACTATGAGGCACCATGCGTACAGTTCTCTTTCCATCACGGTTGGAGCGGCCAGGATGCTTCCGAGGAGTTGACTGCAAGGCTGTCCCCTGGTCTCCTGCTTTGTAGCCAGCATTGCTTTGACGCTCCGGCGCATTATCCGGGTTTTTCTGTGCTTCTGGTGGCTGCGGGGTTTCGCTTGAAGGCCGGACAAATTGCTCACTCTTCGCACTGGCATAAGATTGGGGATGATCCCGCCTCTCTTGTTTTTTCGTTTCGTCCTGCTCGATCAGGCGATCTAGGTGTGCTATGATCGGCTTCAAGTAGCCGGGGATGTTTCCTGAGTCGTCTCTAGACGAATGTTGGATCAGCTTACGACGGGTTTCAGTAAGCTCTGCAGCTGTGTATGACCGAGGCGACGATGCGGCTGGAGGTGCTGTGCGTATGGCTGAGTGTCCTTTGGAGGCAAGCTGTTGATGAGATACCTCAGGACTGGCGATCGACACGGATGTCGCAGGCGTCTCGGAGCCAATGCATGTGCTGGCGGTGCAGTTCGTGGACAGTGAGCTGCCGTTGAAGGCCTCCTCGCATATTTGACTAAGTTCATAGGACACTTTTCGCGCATCATCCTTCCAAATGATATCACTGTTTCGCACCTTCTTCATCTGAGGACAATTCCTGATTGTAACACCAGCTCCCCGCACAACTGTAGGCTGAGCGGGCAACGATGGGCTCTCTTGTGCGTCAGAAAATGGATCATCGTCAAATTCAGACACTACAGTGCTTTCACTTGCATCAAGCCTGATGTTGCGGACTTTCGGCCGGGGTGGCCTCGCTCTGGCGGATACTGAGCCTTGCGAGCGGTTTCTTTTGTGGTGGAAGGATACATTGCGTTTGTAGCTGGCAGAACGAGGGGTTGATGCGACATATAAAGCCCGACGAGAACCCGATAACGATGTTTTTGAATGGAATGATTTGACAGAATTGACCTTCATGCGCTTGTCACGCATGACCACGAAAGGTGAGCTTGGCGGGCATTCGGGAACCTCGTTATCCGTGTCGTTTTTTGCAGTTGGCCTCGGTTGGGGAGCTGTTTCTGAAGGCTCTTTCACGGTCTTATCAACATCGACAATAAGTCCATTGCGGTAGACTGTAATCTTCGCACACTTCGCTTCTCTCGGGGGGTATTTGCCTTGTGGCGACCTGAACGGGTCGTAGCTCCGCACCGTAGCACAAGACTTCGGCTCCTCATTATACTTTGTTCTTATTCCTGTTTCTCTCACGGGTGGGAACTGAGACCACTTCGCTGAGCTGCCCTTCGCACGTCGAGTCCGGCGACTCGGTGTACGCGGCGGCACTGATATATGGTGATAGTCGCTGGCCGAATGCTCGAGGGTCTGTCCCTGATAATTCTCTAACTGTTCATTTCTGAATTTCACCAAAGCATTGTAAAATAGGCGTTGGTGGCTTGGACTAGTCATTCTATCAATCAGCTGCAAGTTCACTACTCGATATTCTCCATGTAGGCGCCACGTGTGATGACATCGCGCAGACGACTCGACTTACGTAGGGTCTAAGATTCTCTTCAGTATTGCTTCTGGAGTAGCATCATGCCATAGTGTCTGGAGATTCCTCAGAAGGTCGATGTCGACGTCTTCCTTGCTGTTGATTGGCGGGCCACAGTCTTCAGGCATAATCGGCGGAGCAGGGCCGATATGATAGTTCACTGCCCCTTGGTAGCGCTTCTCGTACTTTCTAATCAAAGGGTGTCTCCAAATTTCGCTCATGCTGATTCGATGGTCCGGGTTCTTCTCCAATATGCGTATGATGAGGTCTGCTGCTTCACGGCTAATATTGGGAGGGATTTTGAACTCCCCACGCCTCACCAGCTCTAGCGTGCGATGGGTGTCATCTCCATCGAAGGGAAGAAAACCCGTCAGTAATGCATACAAGATTATGCCACAGCTCCATATGTCTGCCTTGTCACCTAGGTATCTTTTTCCTCCGACGATCTCCGGAGCAGCATAATGTGGACTTCCGCAAGACGTGTCAAGCCAGCGATGCGACGGCTGAAGAGCAGCCATTCCAAAGTCCGCGAGCTTGACATTACCCTGTCCATCAAGCAGTATGTTTTCCGGTTTTAGATCTCGGTGACAAATATTGAAGCGATGGCAGTATCCCAGGCCAGCGATTATCTGACAGAATATTCGTACTGCTTCTTCCTCTCTAAGAGGCGCGTTTTCAGAGACGTAATCAAACAATTCGCCCCCTTCCACGAATTCTAATACTAAGTACCTAGGTAATGTTAGCTATAACTTCCAGTCGCTTCCTAAGGTCACCTACAATTCGCCCCGGTTCTCCCATACATCATAAAGATTGATCACGTTCGGGTGTTCGATCAGCTTCATGATGACAACCTCGCGCTCCAGCCCGGATGGAATCTGCCGCGGCCCTATTCCTCCCATGCGATTAGCCCTCTTATCCATTCCTGCAATACTCGCGCTCTGCGTTATGGCGGCGGATTTCTTTGATACGATCTTGATTGCAGCCAATTGCCCCGTTACCGAATGCTTCGCCAGTCTCACGCGGCCGCTGACCCCAGTGCCGAGGGTCTTTCCAAGTTGCCATGGTCCCACGTGTGTCTTCCTCTTTCCTTGGTTGGAGATTATTGACGCCGCTGATATTGTAGAATTGCGGTTCGTTCCTGGCTGAGAGTCAGGAGCCGGGGTGCTGCAATTGATATCGGCATTTTTTGCAGACAGAGGACTTGTCACAATGGACATCGGCACCGGCGATGTCATCTGTTGCTGTGGTTGTCTCAGTGGCTCGTCTCGCTCTGTAATCGGGGCAAGGCACTTGTTTACTCTTGCTGAAGCGTCCGTCAGAGGAGTCCGCATTGTTTCAGGAGTAAGAAGAGCGGTATCCTCGTCCATCTGCCCCATATATCGAAAGAAGAGTTAATCAAAGACGCGTCTGCATATGGTAGATCTCCGTATAGGGCTCGATTGTTTTCTGTAGAGCTGCCATGCTGTTAGTAAGAAATAGAACATTGACGCGTATACATCACAATGTAATAGATGGGTACATACAGCTGACAAGCTCTCTCTATAGTCTTGAGAAAATCAATCACGCGTAGTTCTAGGTAACGCGCACGTCGTGCAAACAGCGAATCCTTGTGGTCGTTTGAATAGCCTATTGTTCGTTCCTGCTGTTATGTTAGTACTTCTCTGTCTGTTTGCCTTCTCAGGTCCCCATGTAGTGCTATGAGAAGAAGACAATCAACCACAACATTGACGGATCAACCCAACACCAAACGGCTATTGTTGAGTGAGAGGGGCATAGGATGTGCAGATTAATCTCCAGGAGTACCGGTAATTTCCTGGTGGCATGCTTTCCTGAGCCATGTTCCGCGGTCAAAGCGAGCAAACATGGTTTTTCAGCCTGGTTTGCTACATACCACGGCGAGGAGAGCCTGTGGAATGACCATCGAGTGTTTGTTTTGCTCGGAATTCCTTTTCACCCACCCGAGCATCCGGCAATACTGCGTGAACTACATTTGGAATGCGGAAATCAATCCGACTGTTATGCTTTTCTTGCCAGTACTGCTGACCACAAAAGTTGGAACAACCAAATCCTCTATCCGGATCATCAATGCCACTTAGGCTCCGATGATAGTTGAGGTGAGTACGATGATATCAATTTTCGAGTAAATGGCCCTTCGATGCCGCGTTGACTAGGCTTTGATGGTGGCATCTAAGAATCCGCCATACCCATCTTTTCATAAAATTCTCCAGATGTGATCGAAAACCCCTAGGTTCATCGAAATGCGACGTCATTGCAGACACCGGTTTGATAAAGAGGTGGCTGGGATCTTTGGCAAGTCAAAGGGACAAGCATTCCCCCCTTCGTGGCGTGAAGACAGGGGTTTGCCCGCCCCTCCAGTCTGACGAATACTCCAGACAGGCTTCCTTTGCCCCTTGTCTACACTAGATTTAAATCACAAAGATAGGGATAACTGTTTTCCTCTACTCTTGCATTGGGCTTCGGGGATTTCACCTGCGATCTCTGCTTGTGGACGCAAGCCAGTCCTCGAGTGTCTTATCCAAGATATTATCAAATCACCACTGCTAATGGCATAACACTTCCTAATGTGTTGATAGGTTCCCTTGTCGAAAAGGATGACGGAGAAACCGAACTTGGAATCCTACAGTACTTCTCGCATCCCACATAGCATACGGAGCATCATGATTCGCCATATCTCCATCGCATTACCTTTCACTTTAATGACTGGGGATGGGTGTTCTTCTTAATACAGTAAAAGACAGCGGCCCCAAGATGCGCAGACAATTAGATGTAAACTTTCACCAATGCTCCTCTCCGATCTTAACGTCTTCGACGTCTACTCCTTCCACGAACCATCTTCCCTCTCCATTTCCGTCGGGGCCGATGAGCACATCGTTGCCGCTCATCATTCTCTTACACATCTTTCCTGTCTCCGGATCGAAGGTCCAGTCTTCGAGGCCATAGCAACGCTTCCAACGCAGACTATCATCAGCATCTTGATACTCGTACCAAAACTGCACTGCGATGCGGTTGTTGGTGAATGAAAATAGTTCCTTTCGTAGCTTATAGCTTTTCTCCCTCTTCCATTTCGCCGTCAAGAATTCAATGATTCCTTCTGTTCCAGAGAAGAATGAAGTCCGATTGCGCCAAATACATGTGGGTGTATAAGCCTGTGCAACTCGCACGGGATCCCTACACGCAAAGTCCGTCAGCATTCAAACAAGCAGTAGAGTAGAAACAGTGTGCGAGTTTCAGCAGCTGTTAAGAATGCCGTGGGGTATCAGAGAGAAATGGAATCAGATCACAGCACGGCGTGAAGAATGGGGAACACGAGGTAAAAGGCCTCGGTTGGGCGCAAGGGGTGAAAAGTTGAGTTCACATCAGACTTTAACCCCTCATACCAGCGTCGAAAATGACGACAAAATGCAAGATCGAGGATTCTAGATCTCCCGAGGGATACACATCGTGAAGGAAAATCTCACTTAGTATTCCATAGGTTCTGGGCTGCCTTGACCTTCTTCCGAGCTGATTCTTCAGTGAAAGGGGGCTTGATGTCAGCCATGATTGATATATAATGTGAATATATGAGAGGAGAAGAAACCTCGAATCCGCTGGACAGGGTTGGAATTTTACAGAAGGCGTGAGATGGAGAGCTCATTATTGACTCATTGTACATAAGCCGTTACACGTCACGTGGGGCTAGTGGTCAGAGAAGTGATGTTAGCGCTGCACTAGAGGCTTCCGAACTCGGGCGAAGGACGATCAACAACTGTCTAATCATTAGCATGTGGAAATAATATTATACTGAGTAACTATTAATATCGCTGATCACTGAAAGACCTCTTGTTCTGCTCGATATCCTTGGACTCGATCGCTTGAGTTTTGAATGATGTGGCAACCAGTTAGTGCTAGTGCTAGTACACTTCTTAGTAGTATGGGCCGGATATATATTTTGACCACTGTTGTAGTACGACTACTTAGTACATAGTACTGTATAATAGGACTAAGAAGTGCACAGAGCCGAGAAATGACTACTATGAATACTAGTGATAGTGAATGTAGTTAGCTTCTACAGTAGTTTTAGGCTACAATCAGAGTAATATACTTTGTATAAATATATATTGTGAATTAGTACTAGTAGGATTAATCACTTGAAGTTATACACTATAAAGGACGAAATTATCCAAGGAACGCATGTTGTCGATGTCGGTATTTTCCAACTTCCCATGAAGTGATGTAGTAGTCTGCTAATAATACCTCAAGATAGAATATAGTATTTACTACTTATCGTCAGCTTTGTCGAAAATTCAAAGGTTTGTGGAAGGCCACCTCATCCGCACCTGTTGCCTACAGGGATAGCATCCTGCGAGGTGCTTATCCGCTTATCAGCAAAGGTGGCAGGGGGGGTAAGGCTATCCCGGGTTAGGAAGGCCCGCGGCACGATGCGATCCTTCCAGACTAGGAAGCTACCTAATAGGGACAGTAAGGGACCAATCTCAGGACTAAACCGTGCAGCCTACTGAATCTCACCACTCGGACCTGATATTTGCCTTCGGCTTGCAGGGGTATATCATCTCAATATCCTCTAGTGGACGGAAACTAGCAACTAGTACTTTGAGCTGACTCGGCCACTATAAATATGCGGTCTTATGCTCCTCAACGACAGGCAACTGCTCTGACTACCAAAATCTGAGTAGGACTAGCACCGTTGCGAGCTCCTCTTCACGATACCGAATCTTTTATAAGCAAGTGGTCCAATATCCAGGTCTAACGTATCCATACAATGCCTCCGGATGCAAAATCGCCTGGCTACCAGCCTGGTATGGCAGTATTACCATCTAGGCCACATCCTGCCAAGGGAAAAGCCATTCGATTCCTCCTTTCCCTTGCATTGGTCGCGTTTGCTATTGTTCAATTATGTGGTAATTTCCACAAAAATAGGAGCGTTGAACAACAGCTTCAGAGTCAAACACTTGATGATGAGTCCTTTAAATGGGAAGATGTGTGTAAATCTATCACGTTGGGATGTAACGTTCTAACGCACTCTATTAGGTTACTCCTACCAAGCAACTCGTATACCATCCATGCTTTGGTGATCACGAATGCGCTCGCTTGTCGCTTCCAATGGATTGGAACCGAACTGATGGTGAAGGGTCAAAAATTGCCTTGGCGGTTATCAAACTTCCTGCCAAGGTACCTGTCACAGATGCGCGATATGGTGGTGCCATTCTTCTGAATCCAGGTATGTAGAGCCATATTGCTACTCTTCAGCGGCTGTGCTGAGTTTCAAATAGGTGGTCCTGGTGGATCCGGAGTGAGCATGGTCTTTAGATACGGGAAAGCTATCCAGACCATCGTCGACTCCCCAGAATCACCAAGTGCAGATTCAGCGAGCGGAAAGTATTTCGATGTTGTTAGCTTTGATCCAAGAGGGGTCAACAACACAACACCTAATTTTTCCTGCTTCCCTGACCCCGCGACGAGGAAAGCGTGGTTACTGCAGTCAGAGGCAGAGGGTCTACTTGGGAGTTCTGAAGGAGTCTTCGATACTCGATGGGCAAGGTACGAAGCTTTTGGTATGAGCTGCAATCAACAAGGAGTCACAGCGTCAAAGGATGGAGAATGGATAGGAAAATTCATGAATACGGCCCCCGTGGTGGCGGATATGGTTGAACTCGTAGAGCGCCATGGAGAGTGGCGTGAACGGGAAACAGAGCGGCTACTTTCGACAGCTCCGAACACTTTCCCAGTTGGAACAAACGTTGACGCCGAGAGGATAAGGCTGCACAACCGTTGGAAAAAAGGGGAGGAGAAGCTGCTATACTGGGGCTTTTCCTATGGGACAATCCTGGGTTCCACGTTTGCGGCTATGCAGCCTCATCGCATAAACCGTGCTGTCATAGACGGAGTCTGCAACGCTGATGATTATTACGCCGGCAACTGGCTTACCAATTTACAAGATTCGGATGCAGCATTCAATAAATTTTTCGAGTACTGCTACACAGCTGGCCCATCAGCGTGTCCGTTTGCGCTCGGCGGAGATCCCGAAGATCTCAAGTCTCGTTATGAGCAGATTTTGACCAATCTTACATCGAGCCCTATTGCTGTGTCTCCTTCTGGAAATAGGGGCCCAGAGATAATAACCTATAGTGATGTGAAGTCATTGGTCGTGCAAGCTCTCTATGTGCCTTTGAAATTATTCGATTTGGTGGCTCGGCTATTAGCTGAGCTCGAGCAAGGTAACGGCTCTTCATTCGCTGACTTGAAGTATGAAGCCAAACAATGGCCAGTACCGCCTCCATGCGATTCCTCGTCCACACAATACAAAGTACCTGGCGAGAGTGATCAGGAGGCCGGGAGGAATATCCTATGTACAGATGGTCCAGGCCTCGACGGAACTGCCAAGGAGGATTTCCGGAGCTACTGGAATATGCTCCGGGGACAAAGTAAGGCGGTTGGAGATTTCTGGGCCGAGGTTCGCATGTCGTGTGTCAAACTGGAGACGCGACCTGAGTGGCGCTATGATGGTAGGTCCGACCAACACCATATTATACACACAATATAAGCTGACAGGTATGCGTATCCAAGGGCCCTTCGCAGGCAATACATCGCACCCATTGCTGTTTATCGGGAATACTTATGATCCAGTAACGCCGCTACGGAAGTAAGCTTTGTTCACCTGATCGTAGCAGACTTTGAAGTACAGACTGACGCATCGGCAGTGCTCATACGATGGCGCGTGGATTTCCTGAGTCAATCGTTCTAGAGCAGAACTCTGTCGGAGTGAGTACCTTATCTGTTCCCCAACCCATATGCAAGATGACTAACTGTTCAATGTCGCAGCATTGCACACTGAGTGGCCCATCCTTGTGTACAGCGAAAGCGATACGCCAGTATTTCCAGACCGGAGAGTTACCTGACCCCGGAACTGTTTGCCAGGTAGAGGAGCTTCCCTTTCATCTTGCCGGATATGAGAGAAGTCAGGTCATGTCGCCAGGTGACACAGAATTGATGTCCGCCTTGCATTCGCTGAGCGAGTTCCGCCATCTGCTAGGCGCGTGAAAAAGGTTAAATAAGTGTCGCCAGCGAGCGCTGCAGTTATTAATCCTTTACATCATAGGAGCTGGCTAGAATGTTATCGATGCAGTTTGCCCCTGTATCTCGACCAAGAGCATGAATAACACATTATATCAGCAAATGTTATTGAGCAAATCAATTATTCACCTGCACTCAATTCAATTAAAGATCTGTTGCCTAGACTACCAGAATTATTAAGGCGACCTTATCGAAGCATTTGCAGACCAACCCCTGTCCATCGTCAGGGGCAAGACAGACATTTCTTCTAGAACCCGGATGATGTATAATCGCGGTGGGGAAGATCATCCTAAACCATTGCCCCAGACTCGCCTACCTTAGGTAATCCATACAAATGCCGGGGAAATCACTGAGGTGTTGTTCATCACGGCGTTGAATCGGCTTCTGCGGTATTACCACCATAACTGTAGCACCCAAGCGCGCTCAGCCACCGAAAGTTGAGTTCCGTGATCGGGGGTCGACCTGGCTTCCCTATGGTTGGTTGGCCAATCTTATCAGATGCTCGGATACCAGGACCCGTGCCTACAAAGTAAGCAGTCCAACGGGTCCGACACAAGCCGAGGATGACCACATCATAGTAATCTACCTAAGTGGCAAGGCGGGATATGGTATTACTATCCACGGTAGCAATGTACGAAAATGTTTCTCTCTGGCTGAACCAAACCCATTTCCTGAAAAGAGAGTTTGGGTAGGAAAATCTTCGGGGACATGTAGACTATAGTGGCGGTCACCACGCACACCAAGGTCCCTGAGGATATTTGCAGGTGGACGGGTTACGTATTGGCTTACTTGGCAGAGGAAGAGCAGGGCGGTGATGTGTGGAGACCAGTGATTGGCTTGATATTGGCCTAGATGGGGCTGTTTTCTCGTGATTCGGGATTTTAGACCAATAGGAGGCGAGTCTTGGTGCTGGGATGGAGGGGCACTGCATGTATGCCTGAGGTGTCGAGGTGGGATGGTTTCCTCAGTATCATCTTTAAAAGGCAGAGATAAGCTTGTTGGCGGTGATATAACGGAGGGAAGGGGAACTGGGCTGTTGATACAGCTACACATTAAGGATTCGGAGAATTGAGTGGCAAACCCCGTTATTCGGAGAAAGAAAAGCAGTTCTGTGTCCATTTCGGATTTACGGCTGACCTCTCCTTTGGTTCTGCGAATAGGCTTGATATGCAGTATTGATTGATTCTTAGTTGCCAATGGCTATCCCCTAAGCATATTGATAGAAAATCCATCTGAATTGGGAACCAGGTTGGAGGTGGAGTGGCGTCAGGATCAGGGGTTGTACGAGAAGTAACCAAGCTTTGGTTGTACCGATGCAGACTCGGACGAAGCGCCGGCTTGGTTGGATTGACTGTCTCTGATAACTAGATCTGCCAGTTGATACCACGCCGCAAGAGGATAATGAGCCTCGGGAATTGATACTCTACTGATAGCAGTGCTACTTGGCTGCAGAATTGATGCCCAGAAGTCATGAGCGTGATTTGTGATGGCCCAGAGATGCAAGCCAGATAGACCCATGATTGAACCCTGCAGAGAGAGCCGACCTAGTACGGGATATCTGATCCGGAAACCCATTCCAGGAAGAAGCAGCAAGACATGAACATCGCCTCGAGGGCCGATTTGTCAACGGGGACGGTCTAGATATGGTGGCCAGCGGACGGGAATGGCGCAGGCCCGAAAAAGGAATGCGTGGTGGGGTCAGTCAGTCTCGGGCGGTCTTCTTGATAATACAGTTCCCCCTCCAAGCCCTACCAATCGAAGAGTTTCGGTATCCTTCTGCTTCGGATCACCTCATGGCGCCGTGGGCGGGCCGTCGCCGCATCATTCGTTGCCCTTGACACAGGAACCATTCGCTGAACTGAAGCTAAGGTCGAATTACCCGCCACAGGCTCGTTGCCCCGTTCCGTCTCCCCTTCTTCCCTATATAACCAACCTTCCATTCCCTTCCCAAACTTCTTCACTCTCACAACTCATTACTACTACTACTACTACTACTCAATCACTCTTAACCTTTCTAGTACACGTTACTACCAACTAATCTCATTCACAATGTCTGGCCTCAACCCCGGTGACAGCTTCCCCGCTGACGTTACCTTCTCGTGAGTATTCTTCACACTCTTTCCCTTCTTCGCTGCCCCTCCCCCACCGTCTTCCGCCTTTCCGGTTGTTGGTGCTTCCTGAGCAGCAACGCAACCATATACTGTTGTCACCATATACTATTACTAGTACATCAACTAACATACTTGCTCCTTTCACAGCTACATCCCCTGGTCCGAGGAGAAGGGCGAGATCACTGCTTGCGGTATCCCCATCAACTACTACGCCTCCAAGGAGTGGGCCGACAAGAAGGTCATCCTCTTCGCCCTCCCCGGTGCTTTCACCCCCGTCTGCTCTGCTCGCCACGTCCCCGAGTACCTTGAGAAGCTCCCCGAGATCCGCGCCAAGGGTGTCGATGTTGTTGCCGTCCTTGCCTACAACGATGCCTACGTCATGAGCGCCTGGGGCAAGGCCAACCAGGTCACCAACGATGACATTGTAAGCCTTCTTCTTTCCATGTTATAATTACACACCAGGGATACTAATTGTTTCTTAGCTCTTCCTGTCTGACCCCGAGGCCAAGTTCTCTAAGAGCATCGGCTGGGCCGACGAGGAGGGCCGCACTGGTCGCTACGCCATCATCATCGACCACGGCAAGGTCACCTACGCCAAGCGTGAGCCCGCTAAGAACCACCTCGAGGTAAGCTTCTCTCCTTTCCTTCAACTCCAGGTGAATGGTTACTAATAATCACCGCAGTTCTCGAGCGCCGAGACCGTCCTCAAGCACCTGTAAACGTGTCATTCAAAGACAATAGACATGGCAGGCGTCCGATGATAGATAGCGTTGACATTGACATCCTGGTGGGATAATGCGTTAGAGATTAGACAGAGCCACTAGATAGAAAGAATATCAACGCGCTTACGAAGCTACGACAACATTGTTCATATTGTAGTATGATGTCAGTAATGTATGTTCAACAATCATTTAGGTTAACTTTAGAAGAATGAGAAAACAACTCCATAAGCTAAAAAAACAAGCTAGTTTAATCTCCAGCTAAGATTGATCTACAAAAAAAACCCGGACATCAAAGCGTCAACCTGACTAGGATTGACTTGTCGTATTTAACCGTCAGCCAACGATTATTGGTTGCGTTGCCTTTCTGTGCGTCGGAGTGGCTGATCCCATCTTCTCAGTGTCGGCCGGAAAACTGAAACTTGACGGCGGACACCGCGCTAAACCAAACCAGCCCAATCCATTCCATCATTCCAGACCCGGATCTTCTGCAGGGATCTTTAAAGCTTTATTCAACTCCAATCCCCCTCTCCTACAGTTTTAAATATATTAGATTCTGTTCTACCCCTCGACATTTCCTTCGCACAAACACAACACAACCGGCCATCATGGCCTCCCATCCTGCGAAGCGCAAACCTGCTGCTCCCAACAACAATTTCTCCGCCGCCGCCGCCCGCAAACGCCAAAAAACATTTGATGCGCGCTCGCTCGCCGTGCAGGCCGCCGACGCGGCACTATCTGCCTCCGGCGAACTAGATGTCGCTGCGTACGTGGAAGCAAGGGAATACGAGATCCGGTCGCTCGAGTCGGGGATCCAGCGATCGAAGAATGCGTTGACGAGTCGGGCGTTCCAGAAGGTGCCGAGGTCTTTGAGGAGACGGACTGCGAGTCATAATGTGAAGAGGGTACCGAAGAGATTGAGGGCGAGGGCGAAAAGAGAGGTATATTCTCCCTTTCGACAATTATTGAGGGTTTGGTGGTATGCAAGAACAAGAAGATTCTAATGTATGATTCTGTGTCCAGATGATAGAAGACAACACCCCCACGGTATCATCACGAACCCGCAAACCCACCGAACAAATGCGCATTCGGCTCGAAACCGCCCGCCGACTACAGAACCTGAACGCGAAGACGAAAGCCAAGCGCACGGCCCTGAAAGATCAGCGAGATAAAGAGGTCCGGAAGACGTTGGAAGAATCAGGTAGTCATGCGTATGACATTGCGCCCCGGGTGCCCAAAATCAAGAAGAATAAACTGTCGAGGCCGAATCCGCCGGAAGCCAGGTTCAAGAAACGCCAGCAGTGCAAGACTTGGTTGCCGACGCATATGTTTCATGCCAAGAGGGCGCATATGGCTACTTCTAAGGATCCGTTGTGGCGGTTTGCGGTGCCGTTGTCGCCTACGGAGAAGAGCTATCGGCCTACGCATCGGGCGAGGGGGTCGAGGGGCGCGGTGGCGTGGGATATGAGCTATCTGGCTACAGTTCAGTTGGAGGGGACGGTGGGGGCGATTGAGGGGGTGTTGAGGGCTGTTGGAGTTGAGGGGGAAAAGGCGTGGGGTGTTAAAGGGAGGAAGTGGAGGGGTGGCACGAGGGGTTTGCGTGCTTGGGCATATGAGTGGGAGGGTGAGAGGAGGCCGATTGCGCCGGTTACGTTGGTTTGGTGTGCTGAGGTGAAAGGAGAGGATGTGGAGATGGTGGATGCTGATGAAAGTGGGAAGCAGAGGAAGGGAAAGAAGGACTGGAGGAAGGTGTTTGTTCGAGTGCATCCGTCTGCGTTTTTGCAGTTGTGGAATGGCCTCCTGGGTGTCTCGAAGAAGCAGAACCCTCCTGTTATGGTCGAGGATTTGCGGTTCGAGATTGGCAGTATCGAAATTACTGGTCCCGGCGCAACGGAGGCATTGCTCGCGTCGTTCAAGCCGGTTGCTATGGATGGGAAGGATATTGCTGAGGATAGTCCGGAGGCTATTTGGACTTCGCTCCTTGGGGTAACGAACCCTGCATCTCTGCCGCAGGACGCAGTCCTTGGGTTCTCTGTCTCCGACCCTCGCCTCGAATTTCCGCCCAAGACTCTGAAGCCGTCGTCGTCAGACGATGAGATGCAACGGCTGGCTATACTACTTTCGTCGTGGTCGCCAGACAACACGCAGACAGCCCCTGCTCTCTTCGATCGTCGCACCCGTCTAGCTGCCGCACGCCAGCTGCCTAGCCAAAAGGCTATCAATCGGCGTCGTTCCGAAGCTGGTCCTGGTGTACGCCCGCCCGCCAAAGATACCGACCCCAAGGTACCTGTGATGGTTCTCGCCAGTCGACCTGCTCACTCCAAGAGCAGCAGCGCCCCTGGAACCTGGACTGTCCTTCTCCCATGGAAGTGTGTGCTTCCTTTTTGGTACTCGCTAATGTACTATCCTCTCTCGAGCGGCGGAAACCCGAGATTCGGCGGTCTGAAAGAGCAGCAGCAACTCTCATTCGAGTCAGGAGAGCCTTGGTTCCCGGGAGACTTTCCAGGAACCCGCGCTGGCTGGGAATGGGGCCTGCGTGAGCGAGAAGAAGCGAAGCGCGACTGGGAGCGACGCCCCAAGGGACGCAGAACCGAGTTCGAGAGCGTCGACCTGCGGAATGGTCAAAAGGGCGAGATAGGACGCGGCTGGGCCTGCGACTGGGAAAGACTCATTCAGGGAGCACCAGAGACGAGCAGTACAACAGACAAGGAACAACCCGAAATCAAAGCCGACGACACCACCAGCCCTCAAGACAACAACACCAATGCCATCCACCCACCACTGAATATCCACCAACTCTCAACATCTGAAGCAGCACGCGCCCTAACCGACGCCTCAAACACCCCCATCAACACCTCAGCCCTAGCAACTGTCAAACTTACCCTCCTCAACCGCGGCACACCCACACCCCGAGCCCGCATCTACCGACTCCCTACCACCGATCCCGAGCTCCGCCAGAATTGGCTCTCGCTGTCATCAAACAATTCCAACGATAATCTTAGGGATCAGCTGAAGAAGAAACAATCTCCTCGCGCCGCCCCTCTCGGCGAAGAAGATGTCCGGCAACAGCTCGCTGCATCGCTTATCACCCCGTCTGCGGATGATGATGTCCGTCAAAATCACTTGCCGGTTCCAACTGAGGAAGATCTCATTGGCTTCGTCACGACGGGCAATTACAACCTTGCGGAAGGAAAGGGTACGGGTATTGGATCTGTTCTGTTGTCGAAGGTGGGGAAGGGGAAAGCGAGTGGCAGGAATATGTGTATTATAAGGAGTGCGGGGGAGACCGTGGCGAGGGTGGGATTTTGGGAGTTGGTTTGATGGTCTGTGTATAGATGGATTGTTGTTGCATGATACCCTGTGTGTCTTTGATTGATTGTTTGAGGAGGAGAGGGTTAGAAGCATAGAAAATGATAGAGCTGAATGTTGAAGTTCTGCCCATTTAGTTGGGAGAATTCAAAGAATCCATACTTGCTCCAACCACAGCATACTAAAAACAAATAATGTAGAACAAAACTGGTAACCTTCTCTAGCAAGCTAGGTATACATATACACACATGCACAAACCCGGGAGGCAGAACTCAGGGACACTCGCAGCAGCAGTCGAACAAACACACCGCTACATCTCAACTCTATCAATATACCTCGTCATTCCCATCAAAACTTAGGGAATAAGTTTACCCAACGATCCGATCCACAAACCCCTCCTCCAACCTGGCAACCTCCTTCTTAAACGCCTCCACCTCCTTCCAACAATCCAACGGCCTCCGATCATTCAACCTCAAACAACTCACCACATCCGATCTTGCCTTCTCAATCCCCGCATCAATCTCGACCAACTTCTTCCGTCCCTCCAACTTCGCCCGCAGCTCCTCGATCTCACTGTTCACACTCTCCCGCGACAGTTCCCGGTTGATTGGCTGCTGCGCCGCTTCAACCGCCGCCGGAGGGGCCGTGTAGTAGCTCTCCCGCCCCGCGAACGGGATCCGGGGCGCATCCAGGTTCAGAGATCCGGGCGGGTAGTAGGAGGCAGTGCTGGGGGCGGAAGCGTAGGTGGGTGCGGAAGAGGTGTCTTTGGCTTCAGCCAGCTTCTTCTCGATTTCGGCCAGCGTTTGCTGTTCGCGGGCGCGCAGGCGCTCAAGTTCTTGGGCGACGCGCTCTTGGATTTGGAGTTCGAGGGAGCGGGCGCGGGCGGAGTCGGTCTATTTTTATTTCCACTTGTGTTAGATTGGGCTGAGATGGGGTTATGGTGGGTGGAAAGTACGTACCTCGGTGTTGGACTGGAGGCCGTCAACGAAGTTGGCGGAGAATTGGACGGGGGAGGAGCTGTTGGAGATATTTTGTTAGCTGGAGTCTGTTTGTCAGATGGTTTTGGAGGGTCAATATATCAGATTATGTTTTGGCTGGGTAGGATGTCGATATCAATATCAATATCCTCGGTGAAAAGTCCGGCTCGATGAGATGCATTGAGCGCGTCCACTGACATCCCAGCCCAAGCCAATCGAAATATCAACAACCCTCAGAGAAATATATATGCGTCCAGTGTAACGAGCAAAGCATCCTACCTCGAGAAAACGTGCTTCGAGTCGGCCGGAGCCGCGGGCTTAGAGCTGCCGGCGCCCATGATGTGCGGATATCGGGTTCGTGTCCGTGACTTCCTTCAGCCGAAGCTGTCTGTGTGGTTTGGTGGCCGGAGGGGAGAGGCGAGTGTAGTTCGGTTCAGTGGAACACCGCAATGGCCGCCGAGAGATCCTGATCGAGGGCAATTCCTGTGTCGGAGCAGGGAATTGCATATCGTCAAGGTCCGTTTCTGAAGCCGACTTCCGCCGGGTCACGTGGAATTAGTCATTGTGTTTGCCTGAGGCATATGCTGGCTTTTGATGCCTTAACGCCTTCGGCTGCTCTAACTTCGAAGGTGCCTTTATGCCTCAGGCTATTGTTACTGGATTAGTCACGGGGCTTCCGTTTCGGGATGGATGACTTTTTACTTTCTTGGACGGTGAAGGTTGGGTAGAGATGCAGTTGGTGCCCGGATTTGCTGGGATGATTGGATTGGAGAAAGTGTAATAGATTGCGGTTGCTTACTGTGGTTTTTGTATGTGGCGGTGTTGTTTTTTGAGTGGCTGTATTGAGCGTTAGACTTCATGAATCTTAAGAGGGTCAGATCATGGGCAATTAGGACTTGATGGTGAGAGGAGGAACTGCTTCATATGAAATACTCTGTAGCAGAGGAATAGACATGTTGTTCCTTCCTTTACAGACTGAAGACTAGTTATCGTCACGTTGGTCAGTAGCATACTGTGTAGGATCTCACGTGCTTGAAGATCACTCGGCCTATCGTCCTGTTCGCTATCACTAGTTGGGTGACGTAGCAATGTGAACTACGGAGTACTCTCTACATGCAAACAATAATGACAGACCTGACATGATCGAAGCTCTTAAGTGGCTGTCCTGAGAGGGAATCTCGCAGTGATACTGCAGCATGCAGGAAGCAAGCCGTGAAGTGGATGGTTGCTTGCATAGGCTGGACGGTTACTTAAGGTTACGTCGAGACTCCCCTGATCATCATCTTCTGACAGCTAGACTAGCCCGTCCTAAAGCAGACGGCCGTAGTTGGCATATATTCACTTTGGCATCGTGCTGGTAAGATGCTCATGTCAGCATCTCCAGGTTCCCCAATGCCCCAGACGACCGCATCCGGAGATTGGGGAAGGCCAGCATCACCAGTTCACCCACCGCGTGTAGTCTCCCTCTCCTGACGCAGAGGCCAAGCACGAGAATGGCATTGTGGCATTGCATTGTGTGCAACAGCCATCCTCGCCCTTCCATTTCCTTCGCTGCTAACCAATTCCCTCTCACCGGTGAACGACGGCTTAAACCCCACCATGTGGTTTCATGCGTCATGGCAGAGACGCGGGCGGATTCGCTACCGACTCGCGGCAACCCCATCTTGCAGGCAACTGGGCCACTTTTAGTGCGAGGAGTGGCATCTGGAGACTGGAGAGAACCACGCACTAAGTCAGAAACCTGGGACAGGGCGAGACATCGGCAATGCGAGAACTCGGAAGGGGGGAGGAAAGCTGAGGGGAATAGAGAGAGCAGAATACTAGCGAACCCTTTTTCAATTTCCCTGTGGCCACGACTGGCAAACCCGGCGAACCCGGCGTTCCCGTTGGCTTGAGCCCGTCGGACTGACCTCATCGACCCCTCCAGCGCGAGATTATTAGTTGTTTCCTGGGCTTCATGGCTCTGCTATTAATACGCCCACTTGCTCCCCCTTCATCATCGTATGCTCATTCCGGATAGTTAGACTCTTCCTACTCGTATTATTCTTCTCCTTCCTCATCCTTTGTTCCCTCCACATCCTCTACTCTCTCCCTCCATCTCCATTCCCCGAATTCCCTCCAGCTTCCGTCTGCCCCTCCCCATATTTACTTGCTTGAACCCCACCATCTGGTTTCCCCCACCACTTTTTTTTCTTCACCACACTGTGTTTATTCTCATCTCAACAAATCTTGAGACTCCTTTTATTTCCCACCTTTTTACGATACTCCTCCATATCTCCACATCTCTTCAGTCATAATGTCATCTGCTCTCCTTGACGAGGCTGCGCGCATTGCCCGCCAGTTCGACTACCCCGCTGCTGAGGTGCAGCGTGGAGTGACGGAATACATTCGCGAGATCGATGAAGGTTTGTCCAAGGAGCACACGACCCTCAGTCAGATCCCTACCTATGTCACGGCAGTGCCCAATGGCACGGAAAAGGTACGTTTCACACCAATCAGCTCCCTCCGCAAAACAGCAGCTGACCTGGTCGTTGGCAGGGATTGTACCTGGCAGTAGATCTCGGCGGCACCAACTTCCGCGTGTGTTCGATCGATCTACATGGAGACACTACCTTCTCCCTTACCCAGTCCAAGATCATGATTCCTCGTGAGACCATGGCGTCCGGTACGGCCAAGGATCTCTTCTTGTTCTTGGCCCGCCAAATCGAATCGTTCCTGCGCATTCACCACAACGACCACTTCGAAGCTCACCTGCGACGCCGCAATGAGAAGAATGGCAACTGTGAAGAGGACCTGTTCGACTTGGGTTTCACCTTCAGTTTCCCCGTGCGTCAGCTGGGCATTAACAAGGGTACCCTGATTCGCTGGACGAAGGGCTTCAACATTCCCGATGCGGTGGGTAAGGATGTCTGCGCATTGCTGCAGAACGCCATCGATGATCTGGGACTCCCAGTGCGCGTGGCTGCCTTGGTCAACGACACTGTCGGAACCCTGATGGCTCGTTCATACACCTCTCCTGGAGAGACGGGCACGTTCCTGGGTGCTATCTTTGGCACGGGCACCAATGGCGCCTATGTTGAGAAGCTGGACCGGATCACTAAGCTGCAGACCATTGAACACTCCGAGTACGACAAGACCACCGGTGAGATGATTATCAACGCCGAGTGGGGCAGCTTCGACAACCACCTGAGTGTACTGCCGAACACCATCTACGACCAGCAGCTCGATGCCGACAGCAACAACCCCGGCATTCAAATGTTCGAGAAGCGTGTCTCGGGTATGTTCCTGGGTGAGATCTTGCGCCGCGTCATGCTGGACATGCAGCGCAACGAGTCCCTGGGCTTCCTCCGGGCTGGCGGCGCTTCCACCGTTTCTGTTCCCCAGGAGTCTTCCCTGTACCGTCAGTGGGGTATTGACACCAGCTTGTTGAGTCTGGTCGAGGCCGACAAGACTGAGAATATGGAGCAGATCAAGGTCGCTTTGAAGGATCACCTCAAGATCGAACGCCCCACCACCGACGACTGCAAGGCCATCCAGACCGTTGTTCATGCCATTGGCAAGCGTGCTGCTCGTCTGAGTGCCGTCCCGCTGGCTGCCATCCTCCTCTCTACTGGCAAGCTGCAGAAGGATGACCTCGTAGACATTGGTGTGGATGGCAGTCTGGTCGAGTTCTACCCCAACTTCGAAGGCTACATGCGTGATGCCCTCCGCGAAGTGCCCGAGGTTGGAGAAGCCGGCAACAAGAAGATTCGCATTGGTATCTCCAAGGATGGCAGCGGCGTGGGTGCTGCTCTAATCGCCCTCGTTGCTAGCAAGGAGGAGACCCGCAGAAAGTCGCAATAGTGGCCGTCAGGACCATTTCGCAGGATTTCCGCATTGGTTAGGTGTTTGAAGAGCGGTTGGGGGGACGGATATTTGGGCATATTTGATCTTTTACGGCGTTGTACAGCTTACTGGAATTGTGAATATATCCTAGGTCGGAATGAATTTTTTTTATTACTATTATCTTGATCCGTATGGCGACAGCACAGCAGCTTGCCAACCAAGAAGTAGTTAGGCCGACATGGCCAGTCCGAATTATAACGCTGTCAAGCCAACACGCGTTGCTCCTGAGTTGCCAACGCGACCAAGCGGACAAAGCGACGGCACGAGGAGCGAGGAGCGAGGATGCTATTGCCCGCCACTGCCGCCCAAAGTCGTCTCCAAGTCGGAAAGAATTCAATAGTGCCTGATACAGAGTCTATCTTTCTTTGACTACTTGATTGGCACAAAACTCAACGACATAAATAGCATGCAGGTACTTAGTCTAGATGCAGTCCGGCTCCCACCAATCCTTGCTTCAGGGGCAGAGGTTAGGATCCGATCGAAGTTAATCCATCCTTTGTGGAAATCCCCTATTCCGATTTTCTTTGATATTATTTGTGGGGAACACCGTCTGATCATGCCCAGCTAACAGGAATCTTTCAAGGCTTCTCCGGATAGAAATCTTTCCGATGCCGGAATGTCAGATGCAAACACTATCCACGCTCAGTGTGACCTTCGCTGTGCCCCGTCACGCTGTCAACCCCTCCAGGGTAGACCTGTAGCTTGCACACCCTGACGGCTGGTTCGAAATACGGATTGCCTCTGCTCCTGAATGGTCTGGCGCCTTGACTGGCGCAACAAAGCAAGGGGGTGCCATTCGGCCTGACTGGCGTGGCTACGAGATGGTGACACAAGCTGGCTTTCATTACGGCAATCCTCGTCAGCCAGTGAAGCCGGAAGGAAGGTTTCCTTGAGCCGTCTTTATCCTTCACTGCTGATCCTCCTTCCTGCCCACTTTTGCTAAATTGTTCCTGGCTTGATTCATGATAACTGCTGTCATTTGCAGACCAGAGGAGGATTGCTTCGTCTGCTATCTTCATCGTTGGCTGCTGCCCTGAGTACCGTCATAGTGCTCTGGCTTTGAGAGTGATTTCAGGCCTTTCATGCCTATCTTCGCCATGGATGCTGCCAACGTTCAGAAGCAGCAGGGATCATTTGCTGAACTGAAACCATTCAAGGTCACGCAGACAGAGGGAAACGGTTCCGCTAGAAGCAAAGACAGTACACTCGTCGACTCTGCGCGAGATATCTCCCCTCACTCACAGACGGTCGAAGCAAAGCATGAGCCCAAAACACCCAGCTTGATACATAGCCATGAAGATGCGGAACCTCAGCCGGAATATCCCACTTCGTGGAGACTCGCGCTGATCGTGATCGGGCTCTGTCTTTCGATCTTCTGCATGGCTTTGGTGAGTATTCCAAGTACATACGCAAGCGGTCGTGCTAATGGCATCAGGACAACACCATTCTGGCGACTGCAATCCCCAAAATCACAGACCAATTCCAGTCACTCGGTGACGTGGGTTGGTACGGCAGTTCCTACCTCCTTACAACGTGCTGCCTCATCCTAGCCTTTGGCAAGCTGTACACTTTCTACTCCACCAAATGGGTCTATCTGATGGGGCTCGCGATCTTCGAGATTGGTTCTCTGATCTGCGGAGTGGCTCCCAACTCGGTTGCGCTGATTATCGGACGGGCGATAGCTGGCCTTGGGGCCGCCGGAGTTTTCTCGGGAGCCATGATCATTATCTCGCAGACTGCACCGCTCAAATGGAGGCCTTTCCTGACCGGTTCTATCACCTCCATGTATGGAATTGCCAGCGTAGCAGGGCCCCTGATGGGTGGTGCGTTCACAGATCATGTCAGCTGGCGATGGTGTTTCTATATCAACCTTCCCATTGGCGGCGCGACCATCTTCTTCATCCTGATATTCTTCAAGGCACCCAAATCAGTCAAGAGTACCACGGGGCTTAAGGATAAGCTGTCGCAGTTTGACCTGCCTGGTACATTTGTCTTTTTACCAGGAGTCATCTGCGTCTTGCTCGCACTGCAATGGGGCGGGACCACTTACGAATGGGGGAATGGTCGCATCATCGCCCTGCTGGTGTTGTTCGGGGTCCTCATCGGTATATTCATAGTGCTACAGATGTGGGGTAACGAGAAAGCCACAATCCCTCCGCGACTTATCAGGAATCGAAACGTATGGGGCGCTGCACTGTTCAGCTTCTGCGTTGGCGGTTCATTTTTCGTGGCTGTCTATTACGTGCGTGACCCTCCTTTCATATTCCTTTAGAAACCTGCTAACATCCACCAGCTCCCCATCTGGTTCCAGGCCATCAAAGGTGTTAGCGCCACCAAATCCGGCATCATGAACCTCCCTATGCTGCTCAGCGTCGTCATTTTCTCCATCGTAGCAGGCGGCCTGGTCTCCACATTCGGATACTACACCCCATTCATGCTGATAGCCCCAGCCTTCATCGCCATCGGCGGCGGCCTTCTCTCCACTATGGGCGTGCACTCCTCGACGGGCCACTGGATCGGATACCAGATCATCTTCGGCGTGGGAGCAGGCCTGGGCATGCAACAGCCGATGATGGTGGTGCAGGCGGCGCTGAAAATCGCCGATGTGCCCAGCGCGACGGCTATCGTGGCGTTCACGCAGACACTGGGAGGAGCATTGTTCGTCTCCGTGGCGCAGAACGTCTTCCAGAATGAACTGCGCAAGAACCTGTCACAGATATCGGGCGTTGATCCTGCTTCTGTCATGCAGGCCGGGGCAACGATGCTACGACATGTCGTATCTGCGGACCAGCTGCCCGCCGTGCTGGAGGCATATAATGGAGCCGTGACCACAACGTTCTATGTAGCGGTGGCTATGGGAGCATTAAGTATCTTTGGGGCGTTGCCTATTCAGTGGATTTCTGTGAAGGGGAAGAAGATGGGACCGCCGGCAGCAGCATAATCAGCCACAAGCTATCATGCTTTGAATGCATGTGATTAAGTATAGGAATGTAATAATGCTAAGTAGTTAAGCGACAGACAATACATAGATCTAATAAGGAAATAAAGAATGATGGCCAAAGACGAGGTATCACGCTGACGAAAGAAATGTAAAGACTGACCACGCCCACCTCACTCTCCTATAACCCTAATACCAACAACAGTAGAAAAGAGGATTAAACAACAGCATACAAACTCAAATACACCCCCCAAATCACCCCACACGCACTCCCAAACACGACGCGCCGATCCACCGGCACAACCGTGTACATGAGCAACGAGACAACAGGTCGGTATTTGAGTCTCGCTATCATGATAGGTTTGAAGTCCTACACGCCCACCATTCATTAGCTCCCACCAGACACACACACACAGCCCACACATATCATCTCATGATATGCAATGGAATGAAATAGGAATAAACGGAATAGAAAACATACCTCACAAACCAACCCCCAAACATCCCCCACTCCCACCCCCTTAAGCAAATTAATCAACACAATAAACAGCACGATATTCAATACACTTCCCACCGTCTGATCGAGCAGGAATTTCATGAGGAAGTTATACCATCCTCCTCTGCGCCTCCTTTGCGCAGGGAGGAAGTTTGGGTTCTTTTCTTTCAGAAGAACATTAGAGGTCGGATCCGGGATGGAGATGTATATTTCTCCGAGCCCTCCTTTTCCTCCTGCTGCTGCTGCTCCTTTCTTACCGTAGGAGTGAGTAGATGGGGGTGTGGGTGGTGATGAGTGGGGAGTAGATGATGATGATGATGATGATCCCCGGAAAAGAAACCCCGGATATCGTCGTTCAAGATACCTCTGCCAGATGAAATTCGGGTGAACGATTATGATCCCGTAGGTGATGAATTGCAGCAGGGCGGGGAGGTTGGGGGTGAATGTGGTTTTCTTTTTTTGGTTAATTGATATTGATGTTTTGGGAGGGGGTGGGGGGGTAATATGGGATAGATAGATGGGGGAAGCGCTTACGGATTTCCGATGATGGTCTATTATTTGCGCTAGGATGTTGGCGATGGCGTTTAGGATGGTGGATTGGATGAAGGTTGTTGTTAGGGGGGAGACCATCTTTCTTTTTCTTTCTTTTCTTTTTGTATTTTTATGGGTTTATTTTGGGGAGGTTGGTCTGGTGAAGGGAGGGGAGAGAAAGGGTTCTTCTTGTTGTGGTGGTTTAAGGGATGGGCAAGGCTTCAAGGTTAAGGAATGGATGGTATGGACATGGACATGATGGTTTGAGTGTATGGCAGCTGTCAAGTTCAGGGATGAATATAGAGAATAGTATGAAGTTAGTTAACTGATTAAAGATTAACGAATGAATATGGGTGGGTATGATATTACATTCTCATCCCCATAGTAGTCTTGGGGTGATATGTTCATGCAGTGTGGGCACGTGTCCTTTCTGGTTTGGCGTAGTTCTTACTCCTGCCATCATTCCTACAACATCTACTCCAGCAGTACAGGGTCCTAAGTAGATAGTGATATGAGTTTAATTATGATAACAATGATCATCATCTACCTATTCACACAGCTCTCGCCCGTACAATCACATCCGGGCCCTCCTTCGCACTCGTAAAGTGGTCCACCAGCGCCAAATGTCCTTCCTCATCCTCTCCTCTCCGATCGGCCAATTGCATATCAAACAAAAACATCAACCGCGCAATCGTCAACCGCATCTCCATCAACGCCATGCTCTTCCCAATACATCCCCGCGGCCCAATACTAAAGGGACAGAATGCCCGCCGCGCCATCTCCACATCCTCCCGCGTTGTCTGCCACGCCTCCATCCCCGTCTGACAGATCGCCCCTTCGATCCACCGCTCCGGCAAATACGCCCCGGGCTGTCGGTAATAAGCCGCCTGCCGGTGGATCGAGTACGTTGGCGTCCCGCAATCCGTCCCGCCCGGCAGGAACACCCCGTCCACCACCGCTCCGCCCTCCATCACTTCGCGCGGGGGCGCCCCGGGCACCGCTGGCGCCAGCCGCAGTGCCTCGTCCAGGCACGCCTTCAAGTACACCAGTTCGTTCAGCTTGCTGCCCGTCACGATCTCCTCCACCGAGGTGAAGTTCTCCCGGACCTCTTTCTGCAGCTGCGCCATCGCCTGTGGGTTGCGCACCAGGTAGAAGATCGTCGCGGCTAGCGTCGTCGACGTCGTGTCACTGCCCGCGATCATCAGCACGTTGGCCTCGCCCCAGAGCTCAGGGGTTGTCAGGCCCTGGCCCGTCTCGGGATCCCGGGCGTTAAGCAGGTAGTAGAAGAAGTCTCTTTTGGCGTCATGGCCGGCCTTGGTACGTTCCTGGGCGCGCTTGGTCGCTTCCACGCGCGAGTTCATGATGAAGTTCCAACGGTCGTTGGTGAGTCGGTGAATGAAGATTTGGTCGAGGTGCCATCGGTCCAGGGGCATCCAGAGACCGCACTATTTTGTCAGTTCGATGCAGCCACGTTAATCCGCTTGAGAACGTACCACATAGTGTCGGTTTGCAGCCCGATCGACAAGCTCAATCAGCCGTCTCCGACTACTCTCGATCAACATGTCGAAGCTCTTTCCGAAGCACAGCTCGCCCATCACGTCATACGTGAGGTAGCTGAACCAGCGGCCCATGTCCTGCACCACGCCTGTCTGCTGGGCACGTGTTAAGCCCGCGCACAGTTGCCGCACGTGCAGCAGCATCACATCTTCCATGCTCTTGAGTGCATGGTCGGAGAAGGCCTGGCTCAGGACACGTCTTTTCCGGCCATGCATGACCTTGTCAATGACATTGTGTGTGTTGTACACGCCTTTGATGGCAGGGAAGGCGTTGTAGAAGTCGGCCTTCTTGAGCCGCTTGCCATGTCCGTAGATATCATGGAGGCCTTGAGCAGTGTTCACAGAGACGAAGTTAGGTGCCACGCGAACGTGAGAGCCGTATTGTTCGTGAAGAGCGCAGAGCCACAGGTGCCGGTCTCCTTGAAGGCCATGGTAGAGCTGGACCCAGGGGGTGATGGAAGCGAGCAAGGGACCTGGGATGCGGCGGAGAGGGTGGAAGAAGCGATTGTAGGTTGCGTAGATAAGTGACTGATTCTGTCAGTATGCATAGCAAGTATGCAAGGTGGACACCTCTTCGACATAACACAGAAGGTGTAAGGGAAACTAGGTATCAACATACCAATCCCACGAGCAGGGCAAGCAACCCCCACCCTAAGCGGGTTACAGAGAGAGCTTGCCAGCCAATTTGGGCCAACATAGTCGTCGGATCCTAGTACTATAGTGGGTGCTGCTAAGAGGTGGAATAATAATAATAGGAAGCTGAAGTATATAGTTCAGCCAGTCAGGGAGCACCGAAGCTAGCCGGGGCCAACCGAGGCCGAGTTCGACCCAAAAAGGAAATCCCCGCAAGCGGATAACAAAGACACGCAAATGACGACAGTCACTCGAGATATCAGAACCACTATCCAAGATGGTTGTTTCACTTACAAGACCTTCACTGGCCCTGGAGACTCGTCTACCATTTTATAATTCTCTCTGGCTCGGTTACTTACGGGCTTTCCCTCGCGTCTTCTGCCCCTCCATTCCCCTCCCTCTCTCCTCATTTTGGAGTACGAAGTGTCTTCCATGGAACTATGCAATATTCAGCGATTTAGCGCAATAGCTCCGAGGATGCGTCATCGTGGCCAGCGCCAGCTGGTCCATGTATCTACAGAGAGAAGTCTGGTTGTCGAATGTCCTGGCCCGGGTACCCCGGGTGCTTCATATCTTCTTTACACTGTAGATGAGGATTAGTAGTAGCTTTGACCGCCGATCTGGTGGAGCCCATCATTTGTATCTCGATTGGTAATGCTCATGCTAAGATTGCTGCTGTCATTTCACGTCGTGTACACCGTCGGAGGATATATATAACCACTCCTATGTGTTTTGTCTCCTGTCGCGGCTATGCCGACAGGGCATTGCTTATCGATCCATGTCAGAGCGGTAGTATTTCCAGAGTCTCGTGGCCCAATCATTGCGTGCTTATATCGGCGCGCCTTATCAGACAAAGCTAAACGAGGCTTGGGCTTTTGTGCTGTTTACTGCATGTGCACTAGAAGGTCGGCCACTGTTGTCCGGCTTGCAAGCAATGTATAACGAGCCACTCCGGATAAGCTATTATGTCAAATGCCCTTCATGTGTAACCGTGGAGACCGCCATCGAGGATCCACTGCTCGTTATCATCATTATCGTCCTGCACTCTCCGCCAGGTCTGTTTTCGCTCTTTGCGTGCCGTGTCCGCTTGCTCCCCGTCTGCAGACTTCCATACCGGTCGCAACAGCCCTCCAGCTGCAAGAAGAGGATTGTGGCTGAACGCTTTACCGCTGCTTTCTCTGGTCTCTCCATCCCCGAGCTCCTCCTCTGCCTTTGCTTCAGCTTCCTCCTCCGCGGATGGGCCCGTCTCCGCAGGCCCAGCCGATTGGTAGACCTTCCTCACCTTTCCTCCCTTGATGTCCAGACTCATTATGGTCTTTTTCTTCTCCCATTCTGGCCGTGCCTTTTCCTCCATCTCTCGCATGATCCGCTGCTGTTTCTTAAGCGCCAGTGCTCGCTGCGCGGGTGTCATCCACAGCGTAGATGCTACGTTCGGAGTCTCAAAATCAGCCGCCTCGTCGACCACACGTGTCCGCTTGGCGTTCTGCGCCTGAAACGCAAGCAACTTGTCTCGATGCGCCTTGGCAGCGTCCAGTTTACTGGGAGTTCCTGAGCTCATCCCAGGACCACCCTCCCGATGTACACTCTCATTGTGTGCGCGCATCTTCTCCTGTCCGCGCTCCGCCCGCAACTCTCGTATCATGCTCTGAATCTCATCGTTCGACAGGAGAGGCGTTTTGCAGAACGAACACGGCTGTAGTCCTTCCAGCGAGCAAATGATCTTTCCGCAGTTAAGACAATTCGGCGCAGGGTCAAAGAGAGGATGGATACTAGCATTGCATGTGCATTTGCGTGCGCCACCGCTCAGCGTCGGATTCGTAGATACCTCCAAAGCGGCAATGGCAGCCGTCAGATCATTTATATTATTTGTAGTCAGCGATCCCTTGGACGATGAACCGGTCCCTGTACTGCTTCCACCAGCTCGAGAGGCAGACTTGGCCGCCTTCGACTTGACATTCGGCAAGAGATCCGAGATCACAGGGCCAGAGGCAGAAGGCGGGTTTTTAGCCGGTGTTGGTCTCGGGGCTGGCGATTGGTTTCGCGAAGAAGTAGCGGATGCTTCACGGGAAGAGATCAACGGTGATGGTGATAGACCGGTATCCAGTGTGCCTTCTTTCCTCGCGCTCCCATCTTGTCTCCGGCTGGACGAAACGGGCATGTAGTCCTCATCCTGGTCCTCCTTTCTGTATCCACCCGTCACGTTTCCAAAATTGTCTGGTCGACGAACAGGTCCGGCGCTGTGTAGTGGTGGCTTCGACTTCTTGCCCCTCTTCGACTGCGTCCCCGAATAATTGTTCCTAGATGTGGAATCGCCGTTCGAAGCTGATGATGGTGCGTTAGATCGTGAGGGTGGTTCTCGTCGCGAGCTAAAAGCAGCAATGAATTCGAAAGCGGCGGGAGAGTCGCCCAGAAGGTTTTTGAGGTGTTCGGCGCCTTCTTCTTTGGAGAGGCTGGCGGCGTAGGTGATGATCTGCGTGAGCGACTCCTCGTCCAGCGGGAGAATTTGGCTCAGCCTGGGGACGGCCCAGGAGATGAGGTTGGCGTTGCTCATGTCGCGGCAATAGTCGGGGATTTTAGAAATTACTAGCGACTGAGCAGGTTGATGCTCATGGTGGAATGCGCGTCATAAACTGTGGATGATGGATCGAACAAGCGGGCCAGACGATGACGGACGGAAGGTCCCGAAGTGGGCTTCAAGGCCATTATTTTCAGGCCAACAACATTGTATACTAGTCTTGCACCTACGGTCTCTCGAGATATCACAACACAATTTGGCACTTCGCATCATAAGTCATAAATATCGCGTATTCATACCATTTCTGTATACATTTATTATCCAACCAAAACAACGTCCAAGCATTTGGATAGAGCAGCCCGAACCAGAATAGCAGTCGTCCAACACGCCATGAAGTCTACAAGGTTACACTTTGTACTCTTTTCTTTAAGCCACCTCTCATATATATGGCCTAGTGGTAGCTCCGAATTATGGGCGATTATGCCATGAAGATCACCGAGATGGATTATGAACAACAGTAACAAAGGCACTGCACGGATACTTTCAACGCAGGTGCCCCACAACCTCGGTTTAGGATGATTGAACCAGTAGTCGTCTATGGTGGGAGCATACGATGAGATAAGACCTGGTTGGCGTTCAGAACTCCACTGTTCGACGTACAGTCGCCTTAAATCTGTATCCCAATCTTAAACCAATCGATTGATTGTAAAGCCCGAACTGACCTATTGCCAGAATATTGTACATACAACCGCATAAGAATCTATCATTCAAAACAGCACTCAACACCTATAATAAGAAACAGAAAGAAAAAGGCTGGAGACGATGCCGAGCATGTCCCACTATTCGACTCGAGAGTACTCAGGTAGGAGGTTCCCGTCGACGCCGTTGATGCCGGGTATTTACGTCAATATCGTTAAGCAAACGGAGACTATGTCCAAGGCCTTGTCCAATGCAAACAGGTCTGCAGTTTGCAAGAAGCAAGGTAAAAATAATGTTGAAAAAGGTGTGTAGAAAGGTATAAAGTGTGAAAAGAAAAAGAAGAGAAAGAAAGGAGGAAAGGAAGGAAGGAAGAAAAGACCGAAGGCTTAAGAGTTATCCCCGTTCGCTTCACTCTTGATGTCTCCGTCACCAGAGCCGGCGGCGTCACTTGCCGCGGCCATGTCTGGCGTAAGACCGTTTTTCAGTTTGCTGGGCGGAGGTGGCTTCTTCCCTGACAATTTTTTCGGGGCTCCTAGTTTCTTCTTCTTCGTCGGAAGAGTTGCTGGGACGTCATCGTCCACTAATGGACGCTTAGGTGGAGCAGAACTGGGAGTGCTGGCACCATTCTCCATAGGGGTCTTGTTGCGGTTGGTCTGTCGCCCTGATAAACCCAGGCATCTGTCCAAGTGCTGTGCAACTCGAGTGACAACAAAGTATCTCGGGCAGTTCGGGCATTTCACAGTCGGGAAGGACACCTTCTCTGGAGCTGCTTGTTTAAAGGAACTGTCGGGCGTTGTGGGAGGACTTGAAGCTGGAGTATTGGACGTATTTGTCTGTTTCTTCTTCTTCGGGTTCAACTTGTCCGTGGCGAACGGGTTTCCATGAACATCGTGCCCCGGCTTGTTGATCATCGGCTGCTTCTGACAATACTCCCGATAGGGATCTGGTGGAGCCCGAGCCCCAACACCCGTTACCGGGTACAATAAACGAGGCAATCGGCACTCCGGGCAGATAATTTCTTTCGTGGTTTGGAGAGGGTTTCCCTTGAGGTAAACCTTGCCTTCATCAAAGACAGCTGCATCGGTTTCCACATGGATGTCCTTGAGTTCCTCCAGATCGAGATCACCGGGCTTAAATGCACCAGCTGGCTTCCCGCTCTCTTCACGACGTTTGGATGCCTCTTCATCGGCTTTCTGCCTTGCAGTGACCACCGCTGAGCGCATACGGGAGACCTTTTCGTCGCGATGCACCTTTGCAACTATATCATGAATTATATTATAGAAGGTATCGTTGAGGATATCGCATGTCTGGTGTTGTCAGGATCCATTGACGAAAGCCCAGAGACGCTACTGTCCCGCAGACGGAAGCATACGGGCATGAACGTACCAATTTTGCAAGTGTTCCTGAAGGGAAAGAACTCCCGTTTTCTTCTGTTCCGTTCGATTCGCCCATTTTGGCAATGTCCTGCAGGACTGGAAATTGTTAGAGCCGAAGTATCTTCGAAGACTGAGCGATCGAGGAAACAAGCGATCAGGAAATGCAGATGAGTAGGGTAGCCCAGCATATCGAATACGACGGGATAATGCACTCGATAGCAAGCAGTACCGATGAAATAACGCAATGGTTGCGCAGATACTGCAAAGTCCAAGACAACACTCAAGACATACCTCTGCTGGTGTATGCAAAGTAACTACGCGCCAATTAAAGCGGAACTTGCAGTCGATAAAAAAGCTCCTCCCACACAACGCTGAACGGTTATCCCCAGTATCAGATCGATGGCTCCATGTAGTTTTGCGCAGGGTGTTCGAAGGCAAATTTGGGTCGGGGTTTACCGGTCGCTCAACGGATGCGGATGGAGGGAACAATGGCGTAATAGACGACTACCCGACTGTGTTGGTCCGAACAAGGGAGCAATAAAGCAAGTGCCCAACTCCACTGAAAAGGAATGTCTCAAAGAAATGGTACACAGGGACAATAACACGTAGAGTCCATCTGTCTGGTGGGGAGTGAATGGCGTCTATAACCCGGGGGCGGGAAACACCCACGGTAGGGAGAATCAGCGGACTGCGCGCACGGCCATTACCGTGAGGGGGAGCAACTTACCTTGGCTTCACATCCGATAGAGCAACATATATAGAAAGGGCACAGTAGACTGTGTGACGCAGCCAAAAAACAAGTCCAAGACGGCAAGTGAAGGTGCAGCACCAGGGGCAATCCTGGATCGGAGGACGTGGAGAGAGGCTCTTTTGCGCTGGCCTTTGCCTCTTTGAACTTGTCCGACCGCCCGATCTTATCTTATCGCATCTCCGCGTTTCTCTCGCCGTTTTCGTCCACCGCTTCTGGATCTGTTGGGTTCCCCTCTTCGTCTGCTCGCGCTCAGCTTCTCCCCCGCTCTCTCCTCGACGTGTTTCTGGGTATCCTTTCTTTTTATGTGTCTTAGAATTTTATTCTTGGGAAGCAGACCACTCGTATAGTGCGGCTTACACGTCGCATTTACCCTTACATCCACCATGGCCTTCCAGTTCTTCGCCAGGGCGCATCAGTCCAAAGCGCCCACTTCTCCACCTTTGTCTCCCCCTCAGGCTCCAACTACGATAACCTCACCGTCTTCAAACAACTCTCACACCAGGCCACCTAAAGGTCCTCCTGCTATCGTCGTACCGCCCTCTTCTGGCTCATCCTCCGTGAGTCTGGCGTCCAAATTTCAGCCTCCAGCAGGCCGAGACTCGACCCTCCAAGCTGTTCCATACCCAAAGCCCATCGCATCAGGCCACCCCACTCCACACCCGCATGTTACTGTTGAAGTCGTGAGCACAGCTCACATCCCTTCCCTGACCAGAATTACGGGCTTGTTGCTTCCTATTCGCTATCCGAACTCTTTCTACACAGCCACCATCACTGACCCTGTGATCTCGTCCCTGTCCCGCGTGGCCGTCTACCATGATCATCCGGTAGCCGCCGCTCCCACCACTGCAGCGCCATCTCCCTCAACGGGCTTGAAGACCTCAACAACTGGATCAGACAAGGTCATTGGAGGCATCAGGTGCCGATTGGAGCGGTTGCCGCCTACTACGGCTGGAATCTTGCAAGGTCGGTCAAATTCCGAGCCGACAAACCTCTACATTCAAACCCTTCATCTACTGTCGCCCTATCGAGGTTGTGGGATTGCAGCATCGCTTCTTGACTCGCTACTCTACTCCGCAGGCTCCTTGCCATCTTCTACTTCATCCCAATCGCGACCTGATCAACAGGTCTCAGATTTGGTGAAGCATTACAACATTCGCACCGTCACAGCCCATGTCCACGAAGCCAACGAAGATGGTCTGAAGTGGTACGTCGCACGAGGGTTCAAAGTGGAAGATGGTGTAGTGGAAAACTACTACCGTCGCCTGAAGCCTTCTGGGGCAAAGATTGTCAAGCTTGTTCTCCAATGGACTGATGCGCCCAAAGAGGAAACCCTTCCCTGCAGCAAGGATCAAGACCAGCGCAAGGCGCCTGGGGGAGATGATGACGATGACTGGGAGAAGGTCGAAGCTGAAGATGGTGACGATGAAGACCATGGAGTAGAACCATTCGCCGATGCGGATTCTAAGCTTTTCGAAGCTGATGAGGGGGTGAGCAGGAAGCGTAAGGCAGACGATGACCCCCAGCGGCCATGATATTGCAAGTCCTGCTTAGAATTATAGAAGCACTGCTCATTCGGTCTCCTGTTTGATTTGTCTATCTTTTGGCGTTCGGTTGTTTGCTCTTTGCCCCCCATCACTGATACCCTTATCATTGTCAAATGTTTATGCCATAGAACACCCCTGTCTATATCATATATAGTTCGGTTCTTTCCACTCGTGCTTGGGATGTATATAGTCATATACACCAGGATAATCATACTCCTATCACTATTTAGCAGTCGGTGCCGTAACCCACCATCTCATACTATAACAAACAACCCGTAAACCTACCCTCTCGCAGTGAATACAACCCTCCTTCTAGAATAGTCCGAAATAGCGCATTAACCCAGGACCCTCAGACGCGTTTCCCATCACGTCATCATTGGCCAACTCTTAGAGGTGGATTTTCGCGATTCTTTGACATCTCTCCCAGCTGGCGGTTCTTATTGGCCTCTGATCTCATAGCAGATTGATAGCATGTGGAGTGCCATGCGGATGTATTCAAAACGTAAGATATTCACTTAGAGGTTTATTTACACTTACGTTAGTCTGGTCATAATCAGTATTATCCATCATTTTAGTAGCGCAATGCTACCAAACATGACCGGACTGGCGTTGTTGTGATGGCGTTCTGGTTCGATGTAACTGAAATATGACCATTTATGGGAAGATAAGACGCGAAGAGCCTGTTTACAATGAGAAGTCGTAGGTCCTCATGTACTAGCCATTTAGCAATTTATCTAAAGTAGGGACTGCATGCGTCTGCGGCCATAGTGCTTGGTGTGCGTGCATTGGGTAGGGAAGCTGGCATGCCCCCTTAAATACACAGTTAGCGAACTAGTTTTGGAAATACATCTATTGCCTGGGTGTCAGTCAAATCGCTTGAGCTGTGACATAGCAGGTATTCAGTAATTCTCTTGTCAAGTGCTTGGTAGGCGAGGATGATTCTGCTACTTATTGCGCTGAAGCCTTATGTACTATATAGCGTCCCCTGTTCGAAATAGTTTCTTGGATAGTAAAAAACAAAGAATAGGGGTCTCCACAGCACCGCAAGTTGAGATAGCTAACCTTCAGTCCAGGATCGTGTCATCTGACGAGGTTTTTACATAAGTCAAGTTGATCAGACATATTGCAGTAGATGTGATGTTGCAGTAAGACAATATCCCTCACCGCCCCGATATATGCGCAGAATTCTGCCGCAGAAAAATGGGAAGTCTGTCAACCATTCTCTCCTCATCCAGACTGACAGTTACATAAAGCCATTTACCTCTTCATTGACTATCTTCGCACCTTGTCGGTCCTGGGCAGACTACTTTGGCTTCAGTACTAACTCAAGATGGCCTCCACAGCGCCATCCGCACCCCCTTCTCTTACCCTCCCCCCCTCGCAATTCGCCCGACTCCAACCTCACGCCTATCTCCTCGCCCACCTTTCACCACCCGCATCCAGCAACCAGCCCTCCATCCGAGCCAATGGCCGCGCTCCCTCCCAATTCCGCGTCACATCTGCGAACACAGGCTCTCTAACTCACACAAATGGCAGCGCTGTCGTAAGGGTTGGCGACACAACCGCAGTATGCGGCGTACGAGCGGAAATCCTCCCCACTGCCGACATTGCCTCGTGGAGCGTGTCTCAATCCTCATCATCTACGAACAAGCGTCGGAAACTCGCCGGTCAAACCGAGCAGTCTAATGAGGATGATGCAGAAGTGGAAGACCCTGAAGACGAAACGCACATTCAACAACTCAACCTTCTCGTTCCGAATCTTTCGCTGAGTACTGGCTGCGCACCGGGATTCGTTCCTGGCGCTCCACCCTCAGCGCTGGCGCAGTCGCTGTCTCATAAGATCTTGAACTTGCTGCATAGTACAAAGTTGGTCCGGGCCGAGGATCTGCGCATTTGGTACCAGCCGCCTAGTCTTGGGCCGGAGGACCTAGAACGCCATAACGAGTCTGAGCAGATGGATGTGGATGTAGAGCGCGGGGAGGAAGTCGGCAAGGAAAAGGAGATTAAGGCATTCTGGGTGCTCTACATTGATATTATGATCATTTCTTTGGCAGGAAACCCATTCGATGCTGCCTGGGCTTCGGTTTTGGCTGCACTGCGCGATACGAAGCTGCCCCGGGCATGGTGGGATGTCGATAACGAAATGGTTGTGTGCTCGGATGCGGTTTCTGAGTCTCAGAAGCTGTCTTTGCGCGGTCTGCCTGTCGCGAGCTCGTTTTGTGTTTTCGAGGCCGATGCGGCTGCTGGCTGGAGGGCGGTTATCATCCCGGACGCTGAAGAGGAAAAGAATATTGAAGAGAGTGCTCGGAGGGGAATTCAGCGGAGGTGGATCCTGGCTGATCCTGATGGATATGAGGAAGGACTCAGTCAAGAACGGGTTTGTATTGTGGTTGATAAGGAGCAAGGTGGGAAGGGCAAGACGGTTATCCAGAATATGGAAAAGAATGGAGGATGGGCTGTGGATGGGAAAGAGCTGAAAGCGCTGGTTGACATATCCGCGCAGAGATGGGAGCAATTGAAGCACATCCTTGAGCAGTGTTGATTGTTTAGAAAGCGACTAATACTACATGCAATGATACGATGATGTCAATCATGATCAAAATATAGTCCAGCGTAGAATGAACTTCGTAGATATGCTAATAAACAGAGGAAGGCTTGTGTCTAAGGACTTTGCAATTCTTCAGGCGAACAGTCCAGAAATCAAATACAACATTGACAGTGCGAGGCGCTGGGCAATTGGAGCAGTCCGATCTTCCCCCATCATTCATGGGAACATCGGATGCCAAGACTGGATCTCGACCTTCCGCCGCGCCAGAAAGCTCAACCGCAACTCTTCACTGCGTATTCTTAACAAGTACCAGTAACAACCTGACACCTTTGTGCTAGATTCAAAATGGCGACTGACGTGGCTTTCGACACGAGCATGGTATGGATAACCAGAACGGTTGCGTCAGCATAGCCCGCTAACCTGCCCAGGGCTCGTTCACAGTAGAGCTCTACAATGCGCATGCGCCCAAGGTCAGTACCAAGATTCTAAGCTCATCCCATCCTTGTTGTGATGCAATTTACTAACGTCTTTTGTATCAATTAGACGTGTAAGAACTTCGCGACGCTTGCGCAACGAGGCTACTATAACAATGTCATCTTCCACCGCATTATCCCCAACTTCATGGTACAAACTGGCGATCCTACCGGCACTGGCAGAGGAGGAAGCTCTATCTACGGCGAGAAATTCGAGGACGAGATTAATCCCAACCTCAAGCATACCGGTGCTGGAATCTTGAGCATGGCAAACAGCGGGCCCAATACCAACGGCAGTCAGTTTTTCATTACGCTTGCCCCAACACCATGGCTGGATGGAAAGCACACTATTTTTGGTCGCGTTAAGAGTGGCATGAGGGTGATCCAGCGCATGGGACTGGTGAAGACAAATTCGGAAGACCGGCCTGTGGACGAGGTGAAAATTCTCCGTGCCAGAATCGTGGAGGAGACGGGAGACGAGTGAGGGGTCTTATAGCAGTTGGTCATGGGTATTCATCCACAAGGGCTACACAGCATCCTAGCAACGGCGGTCTTCAACCATGAATGATACGGGCTGTTGGCATCGATGGCAGACAGGCAGATGTTGGACCGAAACCTCAGCACTGCACTCCAGGAGAGCAATGCAGAGCACGAGCAGTTGCGCGTTCATAATAGCAGAGCCACGTCCATCGGAACGTTACAACCGCTTTTGGTTGACGTCTGCAACGCAAGAGCACAGCTTCATATAGAAACAGACTACGGGATTAGAATAGGAATGTTTCACTACAAAACGAACCGCTTCCATCAGATGTTACCATCCGGAGCAGCAGATACAGATTGAATTGTCTATCTACCACTCCTATAGTACAAGACCAGTGAAGGCTTGTACGAAGACGACGAAACTGCTACAAACAAGCAGTTTGCCTGTGCAGAGCACTAGGAGTGGTGTGAAGAAGGAAAGAAGCTCTGATTGTGGGCGAAATCCTCCTTAAGCGGCTCCCGTTAGTCGAGTCTAGCTTCTTTCGGAATAGTCATATGTAGTGTGGCCTCAGGCAACGATATATTCAACAGCAGAATAGCTTTGATGAGCTGCAATGGCATGGATACGCTGTCAACATCAAGTGAGCAAAAGTGTATAGCTCTCCCAGATACTGTAATTAGTATCGTATTCCTTTGTCTGAGGGGAGGAGGCCTAACGCCCATACTAAAGCCAACTGCGTTGATATCAGCAGCCACCGGGTTCGGATCAACACTGGTAACTCCTTCATGCTGTGGAAGAAAAGGGGGTTGCGCTATATAGAACCATATGGGAGTAAGTCTACACTTATCTAGCATGTAAGTCTTCAATGTCTGTTGGTTCCTCACCTAAGACCTTCTTCTATAACGGTTTAGCTAAGTACTTAGTCACGTGGTGGGCCAGTGCGGGTCCCGTATTTCTTCGCGTGTCCCTCGATTTTCTTTTCGTTTCTGAAATTCTTTCTCGTCTTCAGCGCATGATCTTCAGTCCACACCTATGGGCTGAAGAGTCTTGCTACAAACGTCGCTAGGAGCTTGTGACCAAATGTGATGCTCGCTGAGCTTGCTCATCAGACATCGACTTAGCACTAAGCCCCTGCATTTAGCTTGCTTGCAGTTCGGCCGTCATCACAATGGAATCCCTAGCGGATACGCCATGGGACGTGACGATCTCTGGAACTGGACTGGCCCAGTCACTTCTAGCTCTGTGAGCTACCTTCAGTCAATGCTGTATTTGCTTACAGCTAACGTCTCTTGCCAGGGCCCTTTCCAGGTCAGGTAAGAACGTTCTCCATGTTGACAGAAATCCATACTACGGTGGTCCTGAGGCAGCTTTTAGCCTGCAGGAAGCCGAGGAGTGGGCTGCTAAAGTGAACGAGGGTAGGAGCTCCCCAGTCTAAGCGACCCCATGGCCCCTGCTGACTCGTGTGGGTGAGCTAGACACCGGGGAGCTCCCATTCGAACATGCTAGCGTCTACTCCGAAAGCTCCGGGGATTCCACTGGTCAGCTTGCGTCCTCTCGAGCATATACCCTCTCCTTGTCGCCGCAATTGATCTACTCCCGATCACAACTCTTGCCTACCTTGGTTTCCTCCAAGGTCTACCGGCAATTGGAGTTCCAGGCTGTGGGCAGCTGGTGGATTTACAATCCTGAGACTGACGATAGTAGTCATCTCTATCGTGTCCCTGGCAGTCGGGAGGATGTCTTTGCGGATGATGTGATCAGTATGAAGTCGAAGAGGACTCTGATGAGGTTTCTCCGTCATCTTGGTCAGGCCCAGGAGAGTGGGGATGTGTCGGAAGGACCGGATCCGTCCCCGGAAGAGGAGGGTCTTGCTGCACCCTTCTCTGAGTATCTGGCCACGAAGTTTCAGGTGCCAACTGAGCTTCATGGTCCCTTGCTCTCACTTTGCCTATCACAGGCTGCTCCTCAACAGACATCGGCCCAGTATGCCCTCCCACGCATCAAGAGACATTTGTCATCTATTGGTGTGTTTGGTCCTGGCTTTGGGGCTCTCTCGGTCAAATGGGGCGGCGGCTCTGAGATCTCTCAGGTAGGCTGTCGCGCCCTTGCCGTAGGGGGTGGTGTGTATGTCCTCAACACTGGCGTCAAGTCAGTCGGATCTTCAATAGAACAGGAATCCGATGACCAGTCGCGCATACAGATTCAACTGACTAATGATGAATCGGTCAAGTCCCGGTACATCGTTGGCTCGAATTGGGATCTTCCCGCTGCAACTCGCCCTTCTCTGGAGTGTGACAAAGTGGCACGTTCCATCTCCATCGTTTCATCTTCCCTTGCGAACCTCTTCCCCGTTACTGCAGAGGGTGGACCAGTCCCTGTTGGAGCGGTAGTGGTATTCCCGGGAAGCTCTGTTGGCGGTGCTGATGGTGCACCTCCGGTGTACACTATAGTCCACTCCAGCGAAACGGGCGAGTGTCCTACTGGACAATGTAAGTCATCACTTTTTCTTGTGCATCCCCTCCCCCCTTTGCTCATATGATGACTTTTCTTCAAAAACTTATCTACATTGCCTGATACATCATTGATGAAAACTTCTACGAACTGATCATGAGCTTTCTTTTTTTTTTAATTCATGCAAGTTGCATTGTCCTGTGACATGTTGCTAACTATTATCAGGCGTGGTGTATAGTAGTGTCAGCATACCCGGTCCAGAAGGACAGTCGATGATTGAAGCTGCTCTGCAAAAACTTTTCCAGTCGGCTGCCGATCCGAATACGAAAGTCCTGTGGTCCCTGCGTTATACGCAGCTGGGCCGAGGCGCCTCCCACAACGCTGATCTAAGCTGTCCGTCGAAGAACGTCATATGCCTCCCGCCTGTCAGCCTCGACCTTGCTTTTGATGACACCTTGATCGATACGGTCAAGAAAGCTTGGGAGCTGATCATGGGGGAGGAGGCTGCTCAGCACGAATTTATGAAGTTCGAGGATCGAGAGGGCGCCTATGAGGAATGATGTGGGTTGTAGAGCAACTCGCATGTAAATATGCTGTAGTAATGATTTAGATAAGACTTTCACAATGATAACCGATTACCAAGGCCACGACCCTGTCATATGTATTCGCTTTCAGTAACCTTGAAGCATTCCTGTGTCCCTTGACTATCCATGTGATCATGCACTCCGCTTTCTGCGACACCCTGCCATGTGTAACTTCCTACATTTGCATCCATACAGGCCGTGTCTACACAAGCGCACCGTTGGGTTTCAACCTCCGTCGTACAGCCCACCACCCTTCATACCCTCCGAGCCAATGCAACGCAAACTGGCCCGGAGAGCTCAGCACTCTAAGTGTTTCTTCCCGCTTCGATTTCAAATTACTCGCTATTACTGAGACGGTCTTTTTCGCGGTTCGCTTTCTCCGGTCATCCCGCATGTCACGCATAAAAGTATCATAAACATGCAAGGGCCACACATACTTTCCCTAGCACCGGATGGCTGGAAACCCTATGAGTTGCATGCGAGTAAATGGAGACGTTAACTAATGGAATTATTAGTCTTACCTGAGACGAGGTTCTCCAAATCTAACCTAGTAGAATGACTATCAGTAGATGTAAGATGTGCCATAGATGGCTAGACTAGGCTACATCCTCAGCCTCGCCGGCATGCCTGTCTATCAGCCAGTATTTCTCCGCTAAACCTTCCACTTCATCATCAGCAGTATGATTATTCTCGTTACTCTTCTACTTCCCTTCATCGTTAATCCTGTCAACTGGCCTATAATCATTGGCACACGCTTTGTTTAGGCAGTAGTTCTCTTCAATAAGTCATGACTGTATATAGCGGAATTCCTTATCGGTCAGGACTGCACATCATAAGCCACGCAGCTGCTTGGGACTCCGACTACAAAAAGATCATCATGTCGCTCGGTGCTGGGGTTGGTGATATTCTGGCCTGCGCAAGTCTTGCTTATAAGCTTTACCAGGAGCTGTTCGAAATGAACGGTGTCTCTGAAGAATATCGAGCTCTGACATCGAAGCTTCTTATTGTCCACAAACTCCTCCTTCAAGTGGAACAACTCAGAGCGGCTAATCAGCTCGCTCAGTCAACCTTGAATGCCATTCGCTTCTTGACGAGTCGGATGGGTGAGGCAATTGACGAGTTTCCAACCAAATTAGAAACACATAGTCGAGCATCTCAAGCTGGAGAATATGGAATAGCTTTGAAGAATATTTTCTCAAAGGGTAAATCATCTTTGACAATAATACATGAGGTTAGTTTATCTGGTATATGCTGTTGACTTTCACTAAGAATATCTAATATGACATAGGCTTCGAGGCTATCTAGCATCCTTCATCCTAACTTATTGTCTCTGAGTAGCCTTTTGCGAATGGCTTGCTATTCCAAGTAGGTTGTGTCTATGGTCGAGAGGCGAAGTACTCATACTTCTCCTAGCTCTGACGATAAATCTCGGTATAACGCAAGTTATACCCCGAGATGGATCGATGAAAGGTCTGGATTTCCGAATGTCAGACTAAGCGCAATTATCACTAAAAAAGAGACATGTTGTGCAAGACCTAGTTAGTACTGGTACAGACTGCGATGTATACCAGCTAATATACTTCCCAGATTTTGAAAAAGTGCCTAGTCCTACTACCTTCTTCAGACCTGGGCGGGTATTTACGGTAGCCATACGAGGTATATTGACAGCCGCGGGAGATGGAGACATTGACTACACACATCTCCCCTTGGAATGGACTCCATTAGACTCCATTCTAGACCCGTCTGAACGTGAGAAGGAACGACTTTCCCGACAGAAGAGGAATTACGAGGCGGTTATAAAGCTTCCCTTAGCAGCAATGTTCCAATATGGCGGCGTGCAAAAGAATGGACAAGTTCAATGTCATCTGTGCCCAGGCGACGTTCAATTCCCAAAGGACTTTTGGGTTGACAGACACTTCAGAATGTATCACCACGAGACGTTTAAAGGACTGCACGATGTATCAAGTCTCCACGAAAGAAGTGACTATATTTGTCCAAATGAGATAAGCGCCAGTCGTCCTATTCTGTCTGAGTCGGAAGTTGAAGAATTGACCGCCAACGAATATAACCTTCCCACCTGGGGTATGGATCCCTGGGTAGGAGCCATTACCATCCGCCGTTTCGTGGTCGTCCAGCAGGGTACTAAAACCTGCCTCTGTCTGGGTATACATGCGTGAGATCCCCTCGTCTCAAGAGCCTCTGATAATTCCATACTGTTGTTGACTAATCTCGATTCACAGTTACTCTGGAAGAGGGTGTTCCGATCAACCTGATCAGGAGCTGTTTGCTATACTCCACTCGTTGAAGCACATCCCCTATCCATTGCCAGAAGAAACGAGAATGGGCATCCAGCCTTTACGCCTAAAGCCTGAGCATCCATCAACAGTATTACCCAGCACCGCCCGTATTCACTTCGGCCGCGTTTATGAGATCAAGCACGATGTGGAGCTGAAGAACATTGGCCTGATCCATAGCTCATCCATGGATATACTCTCGTCACAATTCGAATCTCATTGTCCGATAGATACTCCGAATGGTCTAGGAGCTTCACAGGACAAGGATCAAGCAGGTACATCTGCAGATGACACAGTCACACAGACCGATATCAAGATTTAGAAGTGAGCTGTGAGCGCATTGGATCGGTCTGTTATAATGATTAGGACCTTTGGGTATGCTTTCCAGATGTCATCTAAAAGTCAGCACGGCATGACACATGATTATGCCAATCGTCTCTTCACATCTAGACTACCGTATCAGGCCTGTAAATACCTATCTCGCGGTGGACGGGAACTATCCTATGTTATCATTCGCCATAAGGGGAAAATTAGCTGTTGACGAAGAAAACAGTAATCACCAGGTTATTCTAATAGTTTTGGTTATGAGGTCTGGAGAGTTTTAATATCACCTGACACTATCAGGAGTTTCCCCACAGTGATTCCTGTACTGTGGATATAGAAATATATGATGGTAGCTAAGTAGTATGTCCTGATAGAGCACTATACTATGTTAGTACTGGCCCCTCTTCCTTAGACCATTGTATCCCCTCACTCGGAAACATGCTCGACTAAGTCTTAGTATATGGTGACATTAAAGAGACAAATTACATCACTCAGAACTTGTGAACGATTACGTATCTCTCTTTTCTGCATGGAATATACCTCAACCTACTATGAAATCAGATATAGTAGAGCATGTGAAGATATGTATAGTGAATGGAATTATACCCTCTAAGTACTTAATAACAACATCAGTAGTATCATCTTAAGTTTAATTTACGCTACCAAATAAGCGACAGCCTGATTCAACTATCTACCTGCCATGTCTGGCAATACATCGCTAACTCAACGTCCACATCCACAACATAATCATCTGATCTGCCCCGATCTACATTAGGAATTATACATCCTACATTCAACATACTGCAAAGTACTACAATGAAAACAATCTACATCCTACAAGACCCGTAGATCAATCAATATCATACATCTTCTACACTCTGTCTCAGATCACTCCCACAGTAATTATCCACCCCCCCAAAGCTTATATAACACAACAACAGACCAAGCCAATTAATTCAACACACTCAGATCTACACTACGAAAATGGGAACTAATAAATCAGTCTGAGACATTGAACCAACTTATCACGCACTTATCTACCTGTTTCGAGACAATGATAAATTACCCACAATTCATTTCTGGAAATCTTGAATCTGAAACGCTCTATCGGCGGGCTAAGATCCTATAGTCCACGGGTAGATTAACTAGATACGAAGTAGGCTAATCTGTGCTCACTTTAATATCGCTTAATTTCCGGGTTCTACTGTTTCTATATCTGCAGGTTAAATTGGCAGTTGGGTGATGAGCAGAGGTCTCAAAAAAATTTTTTCTTTTTTTTCACCTCTTCGTTATGCTTATGCAGGGGACGTTGGAAGGGTCTATCTGTCTGTTTTTCTTTTCTGTCTGGTTTGAACAGTCCAATGTTGAACGTTGAGACGCGTGTATATTAATTTATTCATGAACACTATAATGTATACTCATTATGGCGGAATATGGCATCATTACTTATTATCTCTGATAATAATTCTACCATGGTTCTGGCCAGAGTGGTCTTCTTCCTTCCCAAGCTATTTTCTTGTTCACTTTCGGGCTTTGATTACTACTTTAGTGGCCGATTGCATGCTCGCGGCAATTGGCCTATCAGAATAACGGGTTGTCCGTTGGTGGTGGTACATTGTGGACTTGCAGCGAAAACTATTGTCGACTAACCAAGTGTCTGTATGGGTAGTGTGAAAACGCTGGCAAATTGCCCAGGTGGTTTTTTTCGAATTAAGTCGGTCTGTTCCATAACGGACTAATGTTTTTTTCTTCTAGGTTTCGCTGAAGACGCAGAAGGCATAGCGTGACTCCATCGAAGGAACTTGCTGGATGCCGTTCCGTACTCTACCTCATTCAGGTGGCTTGGGAAGAACCGGGCGTCGGAAAAGAGCGACATGGACCCTGAGCGGAGGACCCTCTTCTTTTCCAATTGATGTCACTGTTCGTTTCCCTTTGGCTGGGGATCCATAACTACGGAGTGCTATCGTCCTGTTGCGGTAAGAGAAGGACGGCAGTCGAACCTGAAAGGGTGCACATCCTTCCCTAAACAGCGACGGAGGCCCATATTGGTGTGCTTGGCAACTCGGTTCTGGGTGAACAACACTGGACCGAATGGCGATGGCTGGATGAAGATCAGGGGGTTGAGGGAGTGCTTGCATTGGAGTTTAGACCGCCCATCAGGGATGCAATTACGATTCGGACTGGGCAGTGAAAGACTGGCGAATGGTTTGCAGTCAATCAGTTGGGGATCCTGGGGAGAGCTGAACTCAATGCAACTGGACAGCTGGATGTATCATGCATCTCATGCACAGAGGTTGTTGACAGAGTGTCAGGGTCCATCAAATGGGTGTGTAGGTGACAGCTGCCAAGGCTGGCGTTCAAGCTTAATTGTCCGGCAATGTTTTTTTTTAGCGAAGTTGGTCATGCTTGCGAAACGACCACAATGTCGATCCCTCTCTCCTTCCTTTCCCTGCCGTGCGCACGGCGGGAAGAAACGTTTGTGTGAAGTAAATTGTATTTACGGAGTAGATTGGCTACTCAGGTGTTCGCGATGGCGCCAGCCCGGTCAATCCAAGATGAGGGGGCGCGGCGACACGATTGCTGATGGATGTCTGCGATTGGGTCGGATGATGTCGCAAATATTTTACTTTCCTACGCCCACTTGCAGTTTGACTGGGATTTACCCCTCCGCGGGTACGCAGCTTGAACAATCCATCAATAACAAGCTGCCGAGTGACGAGGGGAGAAAGTATCAGGTACGACGTACGCGCGTCCGGACGGGCTGTTCAAGGCGGACGTAACTTATGGGATTGCAAAATTTCCACTCAAACGTGGGTGGTTGGACCAGCTGACGGGCAGAACAGAACCACTTTCAACCAGAGGAACCACCAGGTACAGGCCGAGAGTTCTGGAGGCAATCTGCCCAGCCCATGTCCACTCATGAGGCTCAACCACACGGCCACACTTTGCCACTCTCCATAACTCGTGGAGCAGTTATTCAGTTGGTTGGTGGTGGCACTATACATAGAACACAAAAAAAAAGAGCATGTTGGTCTCAAGAGTTGGATGGGATTCGTCTGCTGATTCCCCAGTACGTGGCAATGGAAAGGCAGCTGAAAAACAAGACCAACAGGATCACGGAAGACTCCGCTGTCCGGATCTGAGGGTTTCTATCCGACACTAAGTAGATGCGTCGAGGTAAACCCTGCCGACCGGTGGATGGGTTAAGGCAAGCCCAGCCCAGCAGTCGAGTGGTCTACTGTTAGGCTATCGGCCTAGTGCTAAAGAGTGAATGTACCTTGTTGGTCAGTCCTTCCACTACGTACCAGTCTAAATGGTCCGCACGATTTGTGACCATGACGAGCCTAGTTTCACACCCGAGGACACCACTGGACTGAATCAGGGTATGAGCTGATACTATACCCGATACACAGTGACTACGGGGGAGGAGAAGGAGGGAGAGCGAGAGTCGAGAATAGGAGAACGGATGGTTGGATGGAGAAGGGGAGGGAAGGACACGCGGCCCGTGGGGCCACCGGCCCAGCGAGCCCCTAAAGGGTCTTTCCTCACTGGCTGAAACGGCGGGCAACCGCGCAGATCGAAGTTTCCATCTTTTTTAGCTGCACCAACCAGCCGGTTGGTTACTCAGTAAGGCGTTCTGACATCCGACAGGGTATTACACCCTGCTTGTGAAGTCTGAATTAATGAATGGATGGATTAATGTCTCAGGCGCCGGACATGGATATGAATGCGCATGCGGATCTGGAAGTGTGAAGGTAGGTGTGGACGCTTTCGCTGTCTGCGTTAATACTTTGTACTATCAGTGTGTCCGGAAACAAGAAAGAGCGGGATGATAAGAATAGCAGTCCGCCCGAGGTGGACGGTCCACCCGCTGGAACATTCCGAGAATGTATGGAGGATTGATGCTGGAGTCCAGAAGCAGCCAAAGACCAGCTGTCATTTCATCCTTATCATCACAGACAGCATAAACAGAACCAAAAAGAACAAAGACATACTGTGTCTTGTATTACCAGTAGTGTTCAGGCTGAGATAGACGAGCAACGGTGATCAGCTCTTGAACATTCCATCATGAAGGCTACCAGGTCTCTCTAGTAACCAACATAGTGGAAGACGCAAGCTTCGAAGCATAACATCTACATCTACCAAGAGGAAGTAAAAAGGCAGAAAAGCCGGAGAATAATGAGCCTGAATAGTATTCCCGGCGATGTTCTATTTCTGTAGGCCATGCTGATTTCTCCGGGAGGCGCTTGATTGATCAGTTGACTTTGCTGTAGGCAGTTCTGCGCATCCATGTGGAATTGGGAAGATCTAGACAGAGATACGCATCCACGCATGTACATCGATGGGAAGGAGGGGGAAGACAAAGCCTGGGGAAATGCATTGACTTCTTGAGATCTGTCAACTGATATGATTCGATGTATCGGGACATTCCCAGGATCTACTACTGTCACAGAATGATATCCTGAGACGTGGAGGCATCATGCTATGCCATTGACGATGGATTGTTTCGTGGAGGTCAAGACGGAGACGACGACGACGACTGTCAACGCGTCGAGGAATGAACGGCCGCCGTTTCCGTATCACAAGTTCGCAAGGGTCCGAAATCCGAGATTGAAAATTACCCGCCACCGGCCGGGTGGAGCAGTGAAGATCCGCCCATCGACATTCTTCCTTCAGTCAGGGATCGGCATCAAAAAATAGGTGGGTGGAGGGCAGTGCCGTATTCAGGAAATTCACACAAATCTCGTCAAGAGGCAGGAACAAAGTCTGATTCTCGAAAAGCGAAGAAAGAGACCGTAAGAGATGGCAAGAAAGGTGTGGGTAAACAAAGCAGGATACTGTATAGCAAAGAAAGAACACAAAAGAGGGAATACAAAAGACTGAAATGGAAAGGGACAGTAAGTAACTTGGCATACAGCGGGAGGCGTCAACAGGCCGAGCATAAAAACACTAAGCATCATCGTGGTGTAAATTCTGTAAATTCCTCGTTGGGAAGTTGAAGACAGCGAGTAAATAATAATATTATTTAATTTTTTTTTATTTCAAGATAAAAATAATCATCTGTCGCCCTCCTCAATCCAGGCCAGCTGGTGTTTTTTTCATACCTCATCTGATGCTCTCTCTTTTACCTTCCTCTCGTTCTCTCTGCCGTGCAACACTTGGCTGCTGCTTGTCTTAGAAAAAAGGAAGCAAGATAACTTCTCTGCAACTTGAAGAGACCCCTTCCGTCGTTTAATCTGCCCAGCAAGAACCAACAGCAAGAGTTAGCCAGGCCAGAGACGGGCTGAGCTTAATATTTGCAGATTAAATTACCCAGTGGAGGAGCTTTGGCCCCAGCCCAACCCGTGGTCCAGCATTCGGCATTCCCACTTGGGATCGCTCCCAGTCGCCTGTCTCTCCTGTCTTCCGCCCTCATCTTCTTCCTCTACTTCTCGAACTCTTCTCCCCCCTCCGTATCCTTCTTCCCCTTTTCCCTTTTCCTCTCGCGACATTCTCAACCCCTCGACACTCAGCGCTCGCCTCCCTCTTCTTGTTCTCTCTTCCTTGAGCACTCGACGCACCGTCTTGTTGCGATTTCGTCGGCCTGTTCTCTTTGGGGGTTTTTCTCTTCTCGCTACTTGTTTCCTGCGGCTTTCTGCCCCCCCATAATTTCTTCCGGGGCTTCTCACCCCTTTCCGTGACCGTGTCGCAGGTCTCGACGCTGCCAGCCTTTCGTTGACAGTCTACCAGGCAATAGAAAATTCTTTCCTGCTCGGGATCAGTTTTCTATCGGCCAATTCCACTCTTTACACCATATTTCCCATACGTGACGATTTGCGAGAACGGTTCAAGTGACGACAACCCTTTCTTTCCGGTTGACGTGCTTTTGAGACGAGAGAAAAAACTAAATTTTATAAATCTCGTCACCGACTTCTTCAATTCACATGTTCAAGAATACTCATAATAATACCGCCAAAATGCCGATGTTCCGTATGAAAACGGTTTTCCCTCTGATCGCTCTCTTCTCGATTGGATTCTTTTTCTGGTGCGTTGAGCGCTTCGACCAGGCTGCTCTCCTGCGTTTCAAGCATCCAGCCGATCGCGTCGCTGGTTCAACCCCGCAAATCCAGTTGCAACCGACACCCCCATCCAAAGCCTGCGATGTGGACCCTGGTCTCCAGGCTCCTCTGCCCTTCAGCGAATGGCTTCCTCGCAAGAACTACACCCGTGCCTACTTCCGTCCTCACCATGTGAGCCCCAAGACCGAGTTCAACTCGCTTGAGGATATCGAAGTCCCGGTCCTCCCTCCGATGACCGTCATGGAGCGTGGTATGGTCGTGTCGCCCGAGAACGAGGAACCCATGCCTTGCCCTCCGATCATCGACGTCAACGTCGCTGCTGATAACGATGTGGATGAGACCGACAAGCTCCTGTTTGGTCTGGCCACCACTGCTGACCGTCTGGACCGTTTGCTTCCTTCTCTGCTGTACTCCTACGGAAACACCAAGGCCGGCTTGATTGTACTTGTTCCGGAATCGGACGACGACATTCCCAAGCAGGAGGCCTACTTCCGCAACCGTGGCTTGGATTTGACCCTGATCCAGTCTCCTTTGGACTTCACCGCTCGTTACTTCGGTCTGGTTCAGGCTTTCGCAGAGACCATCCGGACCAAGCGCCCTCAGACTCAGTGGGTCAGCTTCATTGATGATGACACTTTCTTCCTGTCCCTGCCGACCATCGCTGAGGAATTGAAGCTCTTCGATGTGAGCAAGAAGCATTACATTGGTGCCTTGTCTGAGGCTAGCTGGCAGGTGGATACTTTCGGCCACATCGCTTTCGGTGGTGCTGGTGTTTTCGTCTCCAAGCCCCTTCTCGATGTTCTGGAGGAATACTACGATGAGTGCCAGTCTTGGGGTGAGCAGCCCGGTGACCAGAAGCTCGGCCAGTGCATCCAGAGATACGGAGAGACCCCTCTTACCCTCTGGCCCTCGCTGTACCAGATGGACATGAAGGGTGAGGTTGACGGTGTCTACGAGTCTGGCCGTAAGATTGAGTCCCTGCACCACTGGAACAGCTGGTACACCAAGGATGTTGTTAAGATGACCACTGTGGCTGCCGCTGCGGGTCGCCGCTCCGTTCTGCGCCGCTGGGTCTTTGACCAGGAGGAGATCGTCAACAACGCTACTGGTCGCTCCACCCGCACTTTCTGGGTGTTCACCAACGGATACTCGCTCGTCAAGTACACCTACGATGAGAACACCCCCGATGATGCGATCAACTTTGACCACACTGAGAAGACCTGGGAGGAGGATCCCCGTGGTTACGAGGCCCGCCTGGGACCCCTCCGCAACCGGGATCAGGAAGGAGTCACCAAGGATCGTTGGTTGTTGCGGGATGCCTTCGTGGTTGGCGACAATGTGCACCAGTGGTATGTGCGTGAAGAAGACGAAGGCCACAGCGTGATCGAGATCGTTTGGCTCGGCCCCAAGGGTGGTGGCGGTGCCGGCGTCCGGGACTTTGGAGTCCGCAGGCAACATCACTAAAGTCCTTGGTCATGCAACTCAATGAGAGACCAGACGACCGATACTGAGGCTGGCCCTTGGGATCTGTGAAGCTTTTCGATTCTTGCACATTCTTCATTCCGTTCCTTTACACTTTTCCAATTCTTTTTCTTTTCTTCCTTTTACTTTTAACTTGATCTTACTCTATATCTTCCTGCGACACCACAACACTAAAGAAACAATCATGCCAATCTACACGGCGACAAGGAAAACAAGAAAAGTGAAGGTGGTGCGGGAATGTATCTCTTTCGGTCACCGAGTCCTTCGGCCTCCCTGTTTTTGATCGATCATTTGCCTGGCGTTGTATTGGCGGAGTCAAGAATGGCGCAGTCCAAGGTCTGAACTGGTGGTTTTCAGCGAAGAGCATACCTCGTTTGAGTCTCCCTTGATTGACCTGGCTACGGCCTCGTGGGAGGGAATGATAATCATCCTCGCCCTGGGCCCATTGCTCACGACCCGACGTATCCCATTCCCTTATTTCTCCCGATTTTCTTTTTGCTGGCTTCTGTCGAGGGCTGCTTTCTTGCATCAATTTTTTGTAAAAATAGAATTTTGCCGGCCGAGCCGCGGTCGCTTGCTTGCTTTTGGAGATTAGCGCATTCGTCGTTATGGCAGAATATCACGAGTTAAAGTCTTAGATTAGATGATTATCTGTTAGCAATAGACACGCACGCACACAGTGATTGGCGCTGCGAAATAATATGACTGGAATAACTGGAGAATTGTGTTCGTAATGGGTGGTCCGATTGATTGCGTAGGCCAGTCTGATGCTTGTTTCATGTAGAGTCAGTCACTCACCAGCCGAGCAGGCAGTCAGTCATTAATGTATGATTGCCAAGGACACTCCAGTCGTAGTAGTCATAATAATAAAATACTCTTCGACAAAAGTAGTACACATCGCCCAATTAACCTACAAGATATACATAGAGACGAAGAGAGCAGGGAGGAAATAAAAGTACCAACAACCAACCCACTAGACAAACAACAAACAAACTACATCCATGATGATCATATATCAATGCATCATACATGCATACTACCTTGTGTAGCATCCCATCGTCCGTCTAGGCCAACAATCAAGTACTACGTAAGATTCCAAAAGCAAGTATTTACGAGTCGAACCATGTCGCTTCCTCCCCAGCGGTTCTTTTAGTTTGTAGTAATGCAATTTACCCCCAATCGGATCATTCCCTACGAACAAACGAACTCAGTGGGTGGCTGGCTGAATGAGGTGAACGGACTCATGATGGGGGTGTTGGTTATGGAGGTGATGATAGATAAATGATACTAGCTAGGTAGTTGGTTATGTGGCGACTGATTGATTAAGTTGTGTAGGTAGTAGTGGTAGTGGTAGTGGTAGGAATATATAGTCTCTACAAAGTACTACAGTTGGACTGGATATATAGCAATGACCTAAAAGAAATCCTCAACAATCAATCAACTAATGACTCAATCCAAGACATAAACGTCAGCGTCAACAAGATTAGAAATACAAGGGACCGAAACTACTTCTCTTCTTTCCCTTCTCATGCACATGGAATGGCATTGTGTGTCTCGTATTCTCATTGTTATTGCTACGAGGTTACATCCATACATCCCATCCCATTCCATCATCACACTTTTAGTATCCAATCGATTTTTAAAAATGCTAAGATCCCGCAGGGCTGAGAAATAGCATCTTACCCTGTTAAAGGATTAGTCTGACGTCGGTTCTTAGTTAATGATTCAGGGAGTGAGTTACATCTGGGCCGCCTGAAACTTAATCCGAGTTGGCTTTCATCCCTAACAGGCCTATCATGTAGCTTCTATGGGGTTTCCTGCTGAAGGATGACGATTATGGTGGTGATGAGAAGAAGTGATGGAGTGATGGATGGATATTAAGTTTCTGGGGCCATGTGATGGGAAGTAAACTACTTTTAACCGGTTTCGGGGACTGTTGGATGCGAATAATCAGGATCATTGTGTAGGTCACGCTACTTTGTGTGAATTTTTGATGTACTGTTTCGTCAGGTGTGAGTGTGTGAATGCTCGACAGATGATACCATTGTGGAGTAGATAGGTAGTCGGCAGGAGATGAGGAAAAGTCATATGTGGGTGAGAGTATGTTGATCATGACGATGGATGGGGTAATTTTTTTTTGCTTGCATGACCTGTATGTAGCAGGGAAGGTTATTTGGGATGGATGGTGTTAAGGTTCTATGTTAACAAAGTAGGATTTTTGGTAATGTGCTGGGACTCGAACTGAGAGTAAGTGATACTAGGTAGCTTCAATTGCTTAGAGTTCACCCGTGGTCCGTTCCCTCACTCTGGGTGAGAGGAAAGATGAACTTAAGAGGCTAGTGGCACGAGGTTGAAGAAAAGCCTCGTGGAAGAGAAGAGTAAAAGTAAAGTATAAGTAAAGATGATGATGGTTCAGAGTGATGACTGATCAGTGATTGATAGATATGATTTGATGCAGCCGGTGCAGAAGATTATCAGTTCCTGGGCGGGTCTCTATTGGTTTTGAGAGGGAATAATTGGGGATGTCCTTGCTGATGGGGGATGCCAATGATGGGGAAGGGAACAGAGCTGATTCGAACTGTGTATTGTTCAGTTCTAGTCACCTGTTTGCCATCTTACTATATATAGTTATGGATTTCCAGGGTTAGGCATGTCTGTGCTGAAGGATGAGGCTGTTGACTTTCTGTTCTTAGCGATGGCAGAGTGGAAGTAAACGCCAAAACCCTGTGAGTCAGATTAAGTTGTCAGCGTTGAATTCAAAGGAAAAACTGTGTGTAGCCGTAACGGAACGAATTACTGAGTTTGGATGGAGTCGAGTCTTTTCTTCAGGCGCCGCCGGGTTTGTTGAGGGATGCATCCGCCCGTGAGTTAGTACTTTTATGGGGGGAAGGATGATGGTGAACACTATGAGTTACATGCATACGAGATTGATGGATGGATGGATTGCTTGATTGATCAATCAAGCAATCAGTCAAATCAATCAATAGATTCAATAGTACGCGCATAGTCATGGTTATTTACTCACTGCCCTGAAAGTACGAAAAGGTACAGTAAGTGAGAGAGGCAGAGTGTGAGTGAGTTGGTAACTGCCTACCACCTATCTGCAGTATGCAATACGCGTCTCTTCCCACTTCTTGCCCAGTTCTCACTAAAGAGTTAAGTTGATAGACTAGAAAAATAGCTTCGATACTACCAAATACGCCCAGCTGCTGTTTGGCTTGGGGGCCAGTTACTACCGTAGTAGTAGAACGGCAGGGCACACGGGATGGACATGGAATGTTCGCCGCCACCCACTCTGCCCACATCCTAGTTAGTCAGTACATCGAACAACCATGACCCCGGTTTGGATCTGGTCCGAGTGAGATTATCGATCGATTTGAGGGATGGCGAATCAGTTGTGTGCATTAAAGACTTTGTGGGAAAGACAGTGCAGTGGTTCACACAAAACCACCTTGATGAATGAATGAATGAATGACTGGGTGATGGAGGGTCAACTAAGCTTTTCCCCATTTGTTCTTGAAGGAAACGGAAAGTGACCCTTTGAGGGGGGAGGGGGGTTGCCGTATTATTACGCGGTATGGGTGGGGAATGTGAGTTGGCCGCCGTATCAAATCCCCAATGCCTCACTGCGGCTAGGCCAATAGTGGCTCGGGCCAAGCCTGAGTCTTTCCCCACCGTCGGGTCTGGACAAAGGTTGTATTGTGACGGAAAGATTGGACAACTAAGGTGAGGAGTAAAGTGAGAGGGAAGTGAGCAGAGAGTAAGAGGAGTCAAAATTGGTGGAGAGTATGAATATATCAATAGAATGGAAAGGAGAGATACATAAGTTCCCCCCAAGATGGAAAAGTACAACATAGAGAACAAGAAAGAGAATGGAAAAGGAGGTATGCTAGAAATCTGGTGAGGAAAAAAGGGAAAGTTTAAAAGAGGGAACCCAAATACCACACGGAGTGTACGGTACGGTCACAGCCACGTGACAGACCGCCTGCCTGGTCTGCAGCGGCACTTTGCCTTCTTCGAACTTCCTCCTCCCCGTTTCTCTTTCCTTCTCGTCCTGAACCCAAACCCTGCGAAGCAAACGCGTTACTCGATTTGGTCATTCTCCCTCCCCCTCAAAAGCATCATTCCTCTTTGGGCATTCGTCTTCACGTCCCCCAGACTTCTTCCTTTCCTCTCATCTACCATTCTCGTCATTCACCTCTCTCTTTTTCCTCCATTCTAATTCCCCCCTAGTCTCATCATGGCCGACATCACTGCCGTCGGTGAGGAGAACCCTTCTCCTACTCAGGACGACCTGCAGCAGGCCGCCGGTAACGGCGCCGCTGACAACCGCGGCACCAAGCGCTCTCGCATGAGCGCCGACGACGACGACGATGATGATGACAAGCCCGGTCGCGAGCGCAGAAAGATTGAGATCAAATTCATTCAGGATAAGTCGCGTCGCCACATCACCTTCTCCAAGCGGAAGGCGGGTATCATGAAGAAGGTGCGTGCTGTCGCGTCTCTGCAGCCTCATCTCTCCCCTTCGTTATCGCCGTAAATTCTGTCGCCAACTCTAGTCTTTTCATGATGCGTCTTTTCTCGTCGTTGTCAAGCTTGTTTTGCACGTTCTCTGCCTGGAACTATTGCCGTTGGATCGGTGCTGACGCCTCAATGCGGTCGCAAAACAGGCCTACGAACTCTCCGTTCTCACAGGTACCCAAGTACTCCTCCTGGTGGTGTCCGAGACCGGTCTCGTCTATACTTTCACCACCCCGAAGCTTCAACCGCTGGTGACCAAGGCTGAGGGCAAGAACCTCATTCAGGTGAGTGCTGTGCCACTGCTTCCTCTCGTCTACACGAGTCGAACTCAACGCGACTGACTCCGTCCGTTTCCATGTACAGGCCTGCCTGAATGCACCTGATCCCACTACCAATGAGAATGGCGTTGATGCGCCCGAGGTGCCGGCTGAGACGCCAGAGGATGTCAGCCACAGCAATGTCAACCCTCAACAGTCGAATATCCCCCGTCCCGCCGGTATGCACCCCGGCTACATGACGAACGAACAACAGCAGCAGATGGCCTACTACCAGGGCCTTCAGCAGCAACAGCAGGCAGGAGGACAGTATCCTGGCATGCCTGTGGGTAACCGGATGCCACCTCAGCACCAGCCCACGGCGTAAGCGGTGGCTATGTGTCTTCATGCCCCGCGTTTTCAAGCACCTGAGGGGCCCAGACAGTTGTTCGCATCCTTGTCAACTCCAGCGCGTGCAGCTTTCCTCTACGGCCTTCCTTTGATACCCAACGATTTGTTTCCAGACATAATTCATACTATTGAAACCGGTCTACAGTGTTGTACCGCCGCGCAACTCAGAACGAAGAACGGAGAGATGACCTTATAGTAATCTGTGTATAGCCTGACTCGTTGGTATTGCAGTTTACACACACACCTGAGTCGCTAGCCTCGGTGTTCGCAAGATGCCTCGTGCTATTTGTCGTGTTTCACCGAAGACCCTCCCTATAAAAGCCAAAAAATAGCCAATCGAAAAAAAGGGAAGAACAAAAAAAAAAAGAACAAAAAGGAAAATGAAGGCCAGGCTGCACGACTGAATCTTGAAGGATGCAAGAGACTTCGATCTGGGCTCCCCAGGCTATTAATTGTTTTTCTTCGTTGCTCACATCTCCTAATCCTTTTCCTAGACGACGGTGAAAGTGGCGGTGTTTCTGGTGCTTTTACCCT